GGAAGAAAAACAAATCAAAGATATTTAGATCATCCAGAACCGCTCGTCATGACTCTTCAGGACGAGCAGTCTTTCATGACAAGTAGTCGATGTCACATATGCGGCAAACACTTCACGGACAGCAGTACAGTGATGCGAGATCACTGCCATTTGAGTGGTAAATTTCGCGGCGCTGCCCATACCGAGTGTAATTTGAAGTACAAATATCCTAGTCACATACCGTGTGTTTTTCACAACTTAAAACGGTTCGATGCACACATTCTAACGGAAAGCGTAGTGAAATTTAAAAAAACAGGTAGCTAAGGGTGTTGCAAAGACGACCATCAGACGCGATCTAAGGCAAGAAATGTACATGGACTGTTTATTCGAAAACAAAATTGAAATATGTAAAATGAATTCGATTAGAAGCGATAAATACCAACTGTACGTTTATGCCGTCAACAAGTTGGGTCTGTGTGCCTTCGATGACAAACGTTGGGTCTTGCCAAATCGGCGTGATACGCTTGCGTTTGGTCATTACATAATTTCTGCAATGAGTTGGCATTAAAAAATGAAACAGAAGTGAAGTTTTACAAGTATTTATTCAAATGTGTTATCATACAGAAGTCGTCATGAATGATAAATGATTGAAAAAATATGTTCATATGTATACAGATTACATGGTAATTGTATATTGTTGAATTTCAAATTGAAAAAAAAATAGAGTTTAAAAGTCAAAGTTAAAGCGACTTCATACGTACATGTTGATATATTGTCAAAACTAAATTCAAGTTTAAAATTATTTTAAGTTGTAAAACTGAATTTAAAGTGGAAGCATGAATTGTACCTCTATCCCCCAAGAGTGACCAGCTATTTGTTTGTTGCCCTTGGCTTCTGACATACTGACCACCCTTAGGTGTAGTCAGTTGCATAGTGGCTGGATTAGAGGTCTTCTTTGGAGGCGAGGCAGCCATGCTCTCTTCTGATTTTTTAAGAGCCTCTGTCTCCAGTGTTACCACTAAGTCTCTAAACTGGACCTGCAGCTCCTTAAATTGATGCTGCATGTCCATCACTGCGTCCTCTTGTCTATTAAGCCTATCTGCCTGTGATGAGGTTGATAGGCATGGTGATTGCACCTCTACGGGAGCGGTGACCATTATGCCCGTGATAACCCCATCACATAGCCATTTCTGCCACCTTTCCATGCCTATCCTCGAAAGAGACACCAGTTTTTGTAGAGTGAGGTCGCCCTCATCTCTCATCTCCAAGACTTTCTGTGCCGTCGCAGGGCCTAAACCCTCCAACGTGCACCAAGGTCATCCTGTGTAGCTGACCGTAAATTGATAGCAGCCATTCTCAACTATGAGACACCGATCAAGATACGGAAAAGTTTCTAAGTTATAATAAAGAAACAAGTCAAAACACTTAACTAAACATTTACAAAATTATGCACAAGGACAGTATACTAACGTTGCTACAAGTAGACACGTGTATATGTCCCGTACAAAATTCAAACGACTACAAATTAACAGTTTACAAAACGATTTCGAATTCCTAAAATACTTAATTCCTAATCTAATGTAATATATAACTAGCTGTATAAAGCTAACAGTACATATAATAAATATCCTACAATATTATTTTACTAACAGTTCTAACCTAACGAAAACTCAAGTCTCGCCTGTCATATGTATTCCGCCAATATGGGAGGCCCTCAATACAGGCGAATGGAGCTCCGTACAAAGTACAAAGTAACAAGTAAACTAAATTAAATTAAATATAAATATCAGAACGGCAGCGAACCGCCGACTCTGAATTATCCCTAATAAATAATTAAATAAATAACAATAAACCACGGAATATCTGTTATCTAAGTCCGTGAATAAACTAATAGAACTGTCCCAAATTCTCTCACTCGTAATTCGCGCACTGGTCAATTAGGCTAGCACACGTGGCGAGCCAGAGGGAACTTTGACACCAAATGTCGTGAATTTGGTGTGTGGCTACACACCGTCACAACATGTTGTTGGGAACTGCTCTCAGGTTCCAAACTATAAGACTATGCGGAGGAAAATCACCCACGTGTCATCAGTTTGATTTCAGGATGTTAAGAGACCGCGCCGAGATTAACGGTCTAAGGGAAATAACTCTCCCCTAAATTCACCACACTGTCTAGCTGTTACTTATTATTTTAATGTAAAATAAATCAACTGCTTGCAACATTATCCCTCGGGTCTATAACAACCTTTATGATTTCACATTAGCCTTTACCAACGTTTTCGGAGCTAGTGGTATAAAATTAAGTCTTTAATTTGCGAGAGATTACAGAGCGATACAGGCCCATATGCCTCTTCTTCATTTGGAGTTGCCACGTGTTTTCTGTACATCCGGTATATTGCATTGTGGGACACGCCGAATCTTGTCGCCATATTATTCCCGATTCCTGGCGTACAAGCGAATTGCACAGCGTAAACGCACCTGCAAATATGACAGACGCAGGGTTCTTCAAGGTAGTGTGTTATAGCCAGAAATAGGCAATTGAAGTATTTTGTTAAAAAGAGAACCAGTCGCTTGAAATGTACGACACAAAATATTGAAATATACTTCGCAAAATTTCAGTTTCGATTCCATGTGCAATACTGTATCGGATATTCAGTGTAATTTGTATCAATCAGAAGACATGCTTTTTCGAACGAATATCCCCTGATATAAACTATATTAGCACTTTTGATTCTAATTTGTCAATTAAAAACATGTTGTGTCGGCGCTGACGTTGCAGTCGCATAGTCGGATCAGAAACAAGACAAAAAAAACCGCACGTCTCACGATTGATATATACAAAATTCAAAACGAGCTTGTAGCAATTGATCCTAGTAACAAGTTACAACCAACTCGACTATCTAGAAATGATGACATGTTTCTCCACTCCATCGTTCAATTCTGCCCTACAAAATTTCCCAAAACCTTTAAAAAGAAATGTTTGTTTTTAATCATCTGAAAAATCCAGAAAAAAACATTACTCTGTTATTATATGCACTATAGTATATGCGCACTCACCAGTGTCATAATATTTGGTACGTCGAATGAGGACACTTAATTCGAGCATTTCTCATCAGTCGGCACAATCAATCAGATAATAAAATCGGCTGGCCTCTTATGCTACACGAGTAGGTCATTTAAACCGATTATCGATCTTGAATATTTGACCGATTCCCAGCACTAGTAGCACAGAGGTCAAGCAATTGCGACAGCCCCTTCCTGCAAGACCATCTGCCCTGGTAGCGTTCATTTTGGCTGTTAAATTAATATACACGGTAAAATGCTCATTGACAGTACACACATAAGGCATGTATACACATAAATAAAAGCACAACCATAGCGTGGATGGAAGTGGTTAGGCCAATCCCTACCAGCAAGCCCTCATGTTTTGATAAACGCATTGCACATTCATTTATAGCACTATCTACTATGCACTTATTTGCTAAAGCACATACATAGCATGGATGGCCAGCGGTTTGACCAATTCCTACCAGCAATTCCTCCTGCTTTAATAAACACATTGCACATACATAGCAGGGATGAAGAGATGTATGGCCAATCCCTACCAGCAAGCCCTCCTGCTTTGATAAACATATAACACAACTATCTACCATGCACTTTGCACATACATGTAGTCATATATATAACGTTATAGCACTAGATTAATAAAAAAAAATTCGAAGAAAGTACACAACACGCATAAACCAGACTATATTTTGTTAGAAAATTTACAAGATGAACTTTTACAGGAAACACCATTCCAATCTTCCAAACACTTTTTGAAACTGATGAGATCTACTGCGTGTCTTGCATTTTCAGGTAGATTTTGCGCAAGTTTTGCTGATAGGTATGAACAGCTGTTTCGGTCGTACCTTTCTGTTCTTACCGATGGTAATTTCAGCATATTTCCGTATCTAAAAGAGAAGTTATCATCATAAACATGAATTGGATCTGTCGGATAATTCTAAAAGTTTCTATTGCTTTTTTTCGTAATCTGTCTATGTAACATTTATATTGGGCAAAAATTGGAAATTTGACAAAACGAAGGCATTGTGAAATTGCTTTTCTCCCTTTGAAAGTGAGGTGGTGACCTATTCGTTTTAGAACATTTATCATTGTGATGCCTTTGAACAAATATTGGAAATATGTTTTGAAAAATCTATCAAATAATCAATTTCCACCCCAAAAAGTTTGACTGATTCTTCACATTTTATGTCAGTTTCTCCTATAGAGAAGATTGGTTTCTGGTTAGAAGTTTTTTTCCCTAACGAAAGCACTTGAAACTTATCTGGGTTAGCTTGCATCTGGTTGTCATCAAACCATTTTCTAATTTTAGACTTTCTCTTTCAAGAGTTTGTTATGAAACTTGATAACATTAGTGAATATATGAAAGATTGTTATCGTCTGCATAATTAAGAAGGGTAGTGTCATTTATGGAGTAAAATATATCATTGCTAAAAATGTGAAATAGTAGGGGACCTAGGATATATCCCCGAGGTATTCCCTTTGTAAGCGTACGTGTGATGTACATGTCTCACGATATCACTGAAAGTCTCCTGATTTCGAGCTTCAAAACAGCCATCACTTGTTTTGACATGAGAGTCTCTCAATATTTTTCTGCGTGTGGCGTAAGCCATTTTCGACCGGTTGGTTTTTCCCTGACTAACCTAAACAAAGAGGATGGCATTTACTCCGTTTGCTTCAAATGCATAAACCGAAAAAGAGGGGACACCGTTTACATACGAAGAATGTCATAAAATCAAGAACAATGTAGTTGTGTGGAAGTATTTATTGTTTTCGAAACATTGTGAATGTAACGTTAGCTTAAGCTAGAAACTTAATTAAATTAAGCATTAGAGTTAATCATACTTGCCTGCCTTATTACTTTTTGGAAAAATGGCCTGAAAAACTAATTCATGAAATTTGACCCAAAAAATGAAATTTTCAAGATTAACTTAATTTTGTTATTTTATGTGTTTTAGGGTACTAGTGCCGATCAGGATAACAGATTCTCAGACAAAAAGAAGAAGCTGATGAAATCTATGAAGTTTTCAGATGAATTGGAAAAGAAGGTATGTTATGATTATAAATTTGCTGCATAAAATGAACGGTGGTAAATATTTAAATAGATGTTATAAAGTCACTTTATATAGTTGATATAACATCAAAATAGTGTTGTGATGTTGGTGTCCTTACATCTAAACAATATTTTGGTTGACAAAGATACAGGCAGAACTACTTTTACATAGAAAATTCAAGGCCCTCTACTAGTACTGTACCTTGATAGTAGTTCTTGTCTAGGGCCTTGAGAATAGACTATTTCTTCTGTTTTGAGTTTTGTAAGTGCCCAATATGACTTGAACGAACTAACAATAGACCACAAATATAGGCCCTTATATAATTAACAGTTTTAAACAGGAGAACTCACTCAGGCTCTTACTGGTAACTGTAGACCATCTACACCCTTAACAGTGTAGAACTCACCTGGTCTCTAAACTGTAGACCTAATCTAGGCCTCGTACTGTGTATCTAATCTCAACATTAAACAGTAGACAGAGCTACCCAAGGTGCTTAACTGTAGTTGAAGCGTAGATCCATAAACCTATTATTTGGGGGGATACAGTTAAATTGTTCAGAAATATAACGCAAGGTATTTTGTAGGTGGACATGTCCAAAGTGAATGTTGACATCATCAAGCCCTGGATAGCACAGAAAGTCACAGACTCGCTCGGTGGATACGAGGATGATGTCATTGTGGAATTTGTTTACAACCAGTTGGAAGAAAGGGTAATGAATAGTCGTCGATATTTTGTAATATTAAACAGAATGTCTTGCCTTCAATTTGGTAACATATGTATATATATGTTTGTAACAATGTGAAAACATTGAAAAATAATTGTAACCTTGCTTGTTTGAAATATTGTTTTTGTTTTGTGGGATGGCCTTGTAGCAAACTACATACCAATAATTTAGGTTCACTTGATCTTGGAAGTGTTATGGTTCCAATAACAACTTTGAATTGTGATATAAGTTTTACTTCTGTTTATTAGTTTCTTCTTTTCACTTTTTGAGGGTTCATTTGTGAGTGGTTTTTAATGTTACCTTAAGTGCAGTATTTACAGATAAATATAATCCGTCATTTGCTATTGTAATGTGTTGATTCTTTCTGAATTGTATATCACTAGAACCAGAATTGACTTGTTGACATTCAGGGTCAAGTTGTTCAATAACTGATATGTTTGCTTTAAAAAGTGTTCTAATTTCAAAATAGTTAAAAATGTATGTCGATTCAAAATATTGGACAGAAGATTTGTCAGAAACAAAGGTACCAAACAACTCGTTCAAGAAATTTTAAGAAAAAGGAAATTGTAAAATTGCAGCTAATGATTTGCAAGAAAAGTTTTGAACAACCAGGTCTTGGAAGTAATTAATGATATGAATGTACATGTATGCAAGGGAACTTTGGAGTATTGCACATATGGGGTGGGGAAATTAACATTTGATGTGAATAGGGAGTGATACGTATACAGGGTACGTTCTTGGGTGTGGGGGCAGAATCGACATCAAAAGTATGTATGTTGCAGGTCCTTTGTGAAATTTGTATTTTATTGATGCACATGTTCAGATTTTATATGATCAATTTGCTTGCTTGAAGGTTGTTAAAATATTCTACTTGTCATTTTTAAAATTATAATTATTTGTTATGCTATCCTTTACCTATAAGGCAGTATATACACATGTATTTGTTCAGTTATTTTTTACCAGTACTATTGGTTCAAATTTCACAGTTTTCCATCAAATTAATGTTTAAAAAAATGATCATGGTATCAGTATGGTATTATTTATGATTTGTATTTTAAGAAACGAGTGAAAGCATTTAAGCCAGGTATAAACATATTTATTGCTTTCTATTTTTAAGTCATTTGAGGGTGTTTGCTTGCTACATTTGGAAAAGGTATAGATCTAGAGTTAACCAATATCTGATGTGTCAGTTAAAAGTCATACATAAAATGTAGGAGTGATATCTATCATTTCAATAAGTCAGATATATTGTAGCATATTTTTTCTTTAGAATTGTTTGATTGTTTTTGTTTTTGTTTTTTGTTGTTATTTTAATATACCTGTCACATACAAGTCTGAGTTGTTTGATAAAAAGTTGTGTACATTTTGAAATGAAGTATGTGCCATTTTCTTGTGTCCAGTAACTTATACGATCTGTTTCCTCTCACAATCAGAGATATCATTAAAAAATCGCCTCCCCTGATTGAAATCAGTCAAAGAACGGCTTCGTAGCAGGGTACACTCTACGGGTAATAAGCTAAAATCTTAAATGTCTCGGAACCAAAGGATCCAAGAACAGGCCCATGAACGCACTCACAAATGAGTGATTGCTCATAAGAGGTGTTTTGGTTAGTATTCCTTTCGTAAAGTTAAGTATATGCAACTACAGAAAATACTATGCTGTCCTTTTCTTGGTCTTGCTGGAATTTAGAATTTTGGGAGGATAGAACAAGATGTACTGTAGTTTATTTGACAAATTGCATGCTCTCTTTGTAAAGACTAAATATAGCTTTTCTGAAAAAGTAATGACAAAATAATGAAACTGCATATTTTGTGCAAGATGATTCGTCAGTTACTGATGGGCTTCTTAGTGTATCACACAAATTTTTCTGTCAGATAGTGTGTTATTTTAGATGCACTTAAATGTAGAATAAAGTTGTAATTTTAAACATTTAAAGCGGTTTGCAGTACTTGAAATGTTGATTTTTTTTTAATGATATTAAATAAATATACCTTCTTTTCTGGAATTTTGAACATGTAACAACTCCACCAAAACGCTTTCTTGTTTTGTTGTACTTGTTTTGATATTTCAGTTTAGATGGCATATACATTAATTTAGATGACACCCAAGTGTTGCTGTATTTAACAAGCACACTCAAATTGAGACTTGGTCTAAAAATGATTCATATACCCTATTTGGAATGAAAGCATGTCCAAGTTTAAGTTGATTATTTAGGGAGTGTAAACAATGATAGTAATGAGTAAGGTCTAAATGTGGTTACATGCTGTCACTATTTGGAGAATATAATCGTGATATCTGATGGTTACATTTCTAATTTTACAGCTTTTGTTCATATTGGGAACTTTTCATCGATTCACGGAGGATTCACCTTCATTGCAGGCAGAGATCTTGCTCCATCGGAAAGGAATAAAGTTCTAACTGAAAGCCTCAAACAGTGTGTTTAATGCACTAAGTGTATTCTATCGGTCAATTCCATGGATTTTTACCGGGACTGTTCATACTTTACAGTCACACTTTCACCTTGAAATACTGGGATTGTTGCCAATTTGTCAAATGTCTTTCTCTTACAATCTGGTTTTGTTACTGGCACAAGATGATGCAGACACATGTGTGCATAGATATCAAGTTAGTTACTTTACAGCTGATAAATTAGTGACTTCATCTGAAAAACATGCAGTTGTCTTTATTAATTTCAAAATTTTGTGAAATTGTTGCATTTCAGTCTCTATTCTATTTAATCTCTTAGAAATAACTTTAAAATAATAACAATAAAATGAAAATGTTTCATTGCAATAATATCAACTCGTTTGAAGCAAATTTGTCTGAACGCCTGGACTTCCCTGTTTGTACACTGCAGTATCCGGATCCAAAAGAAATGCAGATCAACCTGACTGGCTTCCTCAACCCAAAGAATTCCCGTACCTTCATGCATGAATTGTGGGAGCTTCTATGCAGTGCTCAGGAGAACATTGGGGGGATTCCAGAGAAGTTCATAGCTCAGAAAAAGGAGGAAATTAAAAAAAGACAAGTAAGTACATTGGAAGTGAATGTCTGGGTTTTTTCTGCATTCCCTGTAATAAGCTGTGTCATTTGAGAATGACCTGAGAATTTCTGTGTAAATGAACTGCGTCTTATGTCATAAATGAAGTTTATAATCTCTGTTTTCATTTTGCCAATCACATTTGCTGACAAAAATGATTTTAAAATTATCTTTCTGGTGCTTAAATCCGATTTTCCCTAGGCACTGTATTAAGTTCTTAAATTAAACAGGACTAAAATTCAGCTTGAAATACCTATTTTTCCTTCCTACCCACCTTTTTTTTCTGGTCAGTCGCAGGAAACAAGACTATATATTTTTTGGGCCTGTAACCTAAAGATGGCCCAGTATGAATCGGACACCTTTGAGGTTTCCGAAGGGGTAAACTGTCGTATTATACTTTGCTATTTACTGATTCAGATATTTTTTGTCTGACCAACGACTACCGTTAATATTTGCATATAGTGCACACTTTTTTAAGGAAAAATGAAGTGTTAAGAAAGGGGTGTACACGATACTCAAGAACAGTCCAAAACCAGTCCTTGGTCGCGACCATTTCTTGTAAAATTTTCGAGTATTTTTTACGGAAATGTTTTGAAATATGCTCGCAGCAATAAAACTGCTAACCTTTGTTGAATAATCCCCGATTGCATTGCCAATTTAACAATTACAAAAAGTTGCAAGTTTAAGTCATATTATATGATAGGATAAATAAACTAGAGTAAAGTAGGTCCAACTTTTCAGGACGCTACATTGTGAATTGATAAATCCAACGTATCAGGAAACATAACGAAAAATTGCATCGCGTTTATCACTCTGTGGTTAAAATGTCGTTCTTGGGTAAAATCATGCTGAACTCTTCAATCTTGACAGTAGGAATGTGTCAAAACGACATGGGTAAGGTGATGAAGTTAGCAAGTTTGTGTACCGCAAAGAGTCAAAGAATTGCTGAAATCACAATTGTTTGGTTTCTTCGATATCAGCAGAATGTGTACGCTTAAAGGCAGTCACACAAACAGGTTTCAGAATGCATGTACAAAATCTGATGCAAAAACTGCGACGCGTCATATATTGGAGAGACTGGAAGGCGATTTTGGGTCCGTCTTGGTGAACACTGGAAAGACACAGAAACACAAGAAGGTAGGAAATTCACCAGATCTGAAAGAAAACAGTCGGAGTCCCAGATAAATAAATCGGCAATCACAGATCATGCCACACAGAAAAACCATATGATTGACTGGGATAACTCCAAAGTTTTAGACAGAGAGAGCAATCTGTTCAAGCGGCAGATAAAGGAAGCCATCTGGATACGCAGCAGTGGACCAGTTCTAAATTGAGACGAGGGGGCTCAAAGACTCGCGCACATCTATGACCAAGTGTAAACAAAGCGTAGCTGAATTGAGTCATTTCGGTACATATATAACAACTATTGTACCTACGTTTCCAGCTTAGTCGACATCAATTTTATGGACAACTCGTACACATTTTACACCTTTGTGTGCATACGCTTCATGGGTCATTTGTCTGATGAAGGTGACAAGTGTACATATCGTGCTAGTCATCGAAACGTCACATAGAAAATGTTATTGGTTATGTAAAAAGAACTTCTCATAATCCATACTTACCAACCTGAAGAAAATGTTTAGAAACAATTGTTTGGTGTTCTTCATGTCTCGCGAATTCGGCTGTTGGCGGTCCTCGTCGGACCTGTTTGAGTGACTGCCTTTAAGCATACACATTCTGCCGATATTGAAGACCGATTCAGTCGGATTTGCAGACGATCAGAAAACTACTTGGAAAGTGTATTTCATAAGCAAAAGATTTATCCGTATATAAGATTGAATCTTTTCTGAAACTTATTGAACACTGTGAAAACAACATCGTTATATTCAAATTACCTGTTTGCCCAAGCCAGGTGACCGTGTCAGCGCGCAGATCTCCCCGTACTCAAGGTGTCGGTCAACGCTAACGTTATATTTGCGACATGCTTTCTTATTAATTCTATGTGTTGGCATTGCTACCTGAACAGCATGTATGTATTTACACCTGGTTATTGTTTACCATTTTGATTGACATGTGGAAATATATCCGTTGTAGCTTGGTCAATGATTTATCAGAAAATGATCATACAGAATGATGCGGTGACTTTCATGTCATTCTGACATATTTCTAGTTTATTTATATATGTTGTAACATCTATAGGTATACAATATACTGGTTCTTTATGTGAATATTTTTTTATCTAAGGCTGAAAAAGAACGTATTCAGGCCAGTCTAAAGAAGAGTGAAGAACAAATCAAGGAAGCACTGATGAAGGAAAGAAAGGAGCAAGATAACAAGGAAAAAGACAGGTCACCATCACGCAGGTAAGTTTTCAGTAAATCGGACACAGAAAATGCACAATTCAGAATTAAATCGAAGAACTTGCAGACAAATGTTATACTGAATATTGTTAGATATGGCAGCACACAGTCCTACTCATCAAAGTAAATGTGAACAAGGTATTGTGGAAGATACCTCTGATATAATTAATAATCAATATTAATGAGCGTGTTTCACTTTTCATCGTAAAATTGTTACTTTTGTGCGGGATTCTGTTACACAGGTTAGTTTGATTTTGGGTGCTAAAATTTCACAATATATTTCATAGGAAATCAAGAAGCACCTCACCTAAACCAAGTAAAAGTAGCACTGATAAGAATGACTCTACAAACAAAGAATCGGTATCGGAGATAAAGGGAGGAAATGATGCAGCACCATCAGAGATCAAAGCAGTACAGGAAAATGGAGAGAAGAAAGAGTAAGTACTTACGTGAATTGGTTGTCAGCATGTGTCTGAAAAACATCTTTGATAGATTTTTTTTTGATTTTTTTATTATTATGTCTTATCTACCATTATGTTTTTTCAAGGTGAGTTACATCTTGTCTGAAAGTGCAGAATTTTCTGTTAAAGTAAAGTTTTGCTCTTTAGCGGAGGACAGTTTATCAATATTACAGAATCTGATGTCAGAAAACAGTATGTTATACATGAAACATGATTGTCGGACACTTTTTTTACAGTGATGACGACAAGGGGAAAGAAAAAGATGCTGTAAATCATAAAGATGGTGACAAAGAGGTGATTAAAGATGAATCTAAGGAGGCAGAAAAGAAAAGGAAATCCCGAAGTGCCAGTCCAAGCCGCAAGAAAAGGTCAAGATCTGGTGATCGTCATAGGCGAAGAAAATCAAGGTCAAGGTGGGGGAAATCATATATTATTCACTATTTTAAAATAAATTGTTCGTGAAAATAAAGTTTCAATGAAATATCATGACAAAACAGAGATTGTCTTTGATAAGTTTTAAATGTTCCGTAATAGGAAAGACATCATTTTTAAATTCCTTGATAATTTCCAATATTTAAAGGTCAAACAGACGGTCCCCAGGGAGAAAAAGATCCAGATCTCGATCTAGGCATAGATCACCTCGACGTTCAAGGCCATCTCCGAGGCGCAGATCATCCCCCTATCACAGAAGGGGTTCATCTCCAAGGCGCCGACGGTCACTATCACCAAGACGCCGTAGGAGACCATCACCACGAAGATCACCTTCACCCAGACGTCGATCTCCTCGCCGACGCCCTCCATCCCCAAGGAGAGACAGGTCCCCAATTCGGCGAAGGCGCTCACCTAGTCCAGACCGCAAAAAACGTGCCCAAAGGTAAACCATACCAAGAGATGCGTTTCAGAAACCTTTCTCTTAAAGCATGTATTCAATAAGTTCCTGTCGAGTAAATTTGTATACAATTACATAACACTATCTTACCTCATCTTTTTAAAATTTCACTTTTACAGTAACAGCTCTGGTTCCTCCAGTGATTCAGATGATTCGTCGCCTCGTAAACCATCTGGGAGACGATCTTCTTCTGTAAGTATTCACATTTCTTTTCCTGCATTTATCCCTGATAATATATAGCAAAGAAGACTATCACTATTTCTCCGGAAGTACTGCAGAATTTTCTTATTTCATAAGTTTGATCCTCTTGGTCCTTAGGGCTATTCCAGTTAAAATTTCACCCACTAGGGGACTTCCCTTTTTTCAAAGGGGTACCACCAACAGAAGCGATTTCTTTCAGATTGCCAGATGGAATAGAAGTGTTTTATTCCCTTAAAACACCACTCATAGAAGCAATATTTTTAAGTCAATGAAACAACTACCCACAGAAGTGATTTTTTAATCGATGAAGCAACCACCCACAGCAGTTATTTTTTTTATAATCAGATTGTCATTATATGGGTGGTACCACGACTGATATCGCCGTCATTTGGCGACAAACAACTCCAAACTCCAATGGATGAATTTGATTTAGGCCTATGTATTTGAATAGTGTGTGAAAAAGGTATCTTGAAGACATGTAACGTCAAAATATGACACAGATTGGTTTTTATAAATTTTCAGTAATTGTTACCTGGAACAGAAGTGATTTTTTTCATTTTATGACATGGTATATGAGTGATTTTCTGTTGACACCTACCTGGAATGGAAGTTTTTTTCATGAAAGTCTGCTAGTGGGTGACATTTTTAACTGGAATAGCCCTTAGTTGTAAATTTTTCGATTTCGAAACTGATCATAAGAATTCCAAGAAGATAGTATTTTACTAATTTGACTGTTAAAATTAGTTACCTCTATTTCTCAAAGCACTGAAGTGATTTGCCTTGAATTCCTTCTCATAGCAACGAAGCCTCCTTATTGTTCTTAGTTGTTCATGTTTCATTTTTATCGGATTGAAAAAAAGATAAGTACTATGCAGACATCTTTAATTTTATCATTGAAGTAAGCTACAGAACAGATATTTCTGATATTTCATAAGTAGGTTCTTCCTGATCCCTATTTTGTTGGTGCATTTTTAGCTCCAGGCTTCTTGACCAGAATATATAGATGGCTGCCAAAAGTCTCTTCCCTTTTTTTTACAAATCACTATTCTAGTAAATAGGTCAGACAACAACCTCACTTTGAAAGGACAAAAGTGAAATTTTGATATCCAAAATTATATAATATATTTGCTCTTGACTTCTTGACTAGAAGATGAAAGATAAAACTAATGTGGGTACCTGGAACTAACAAATAATTTAAAGTGGTCCCAAAGATTTCTCTTGGGTCTCTTGTTAAAATTTCTTGTGTTCAATTGAAAACAAATTTACTGTTTGGTTATAGCTTTCACACCATCTGATTCATCCATAGTGTTTAAGCTTATCATCTTTTTATTGATGTGATGTTTATGTTTATGCACTTGACAGGCAGACAAAGATGACAGCAGTGCTGACAATGCTGATTCTCCTGGCAAGCAAGGAGTACAAAAACGAAGAAATTATCGCACACATGGCCCAGATGCTAATTCTGATTCTTCCTCATCATCAGATGATTCGTCTTCAGAGGATGAAGCACCAGGTGACTACATAAATCTTGCCGTGAAAATACACTGTTATATACCCAATGAATCTTTATATAGTAAAGTGATACACAGATGGTTTTTATGCCATACACTGTTAAATTCCATACTTTTTGACTGGAACTGATCAGTTATCTACCAATCAAATTGCCAAATTTAAACAAAAATGAGATCCCAAAAGTAATTGTTCAGACCTCAGTGCTTTTTCTGTTGCAAGTTTTACAGAAGCCTCTTGAACATTAATATTGGTTAATGACTAGTAATGCTTTTCAGGAAATATGTTATGCATATAAAGAACAATCCGAGATGTCAGATAACCACATGTGTTGTACTGTTTTTATTGCATAGCTACATTGCACATGGTTGTTACTCATTTGGATATATTTTATTAAGGTTGAAGTCCTTGTGAAATATATCAATATGCTCTCATGCAATGTAAGATGTCCAATGGACATGTGTGGGAATTTTGCATTTCCTCCGTAAACACATTATTGTACCTTGGTTCTTGTTAGGCAAAAAAAGTAAATTTTTATACTTGTGACTTACATGTATAAATTTCTTTCCACTTTGTCAAGCTGTGAGAGGTCAACAACGTAAACGTTCACCACCTTATGGTCGTCCAATGCGCAGGTCAATGTCCAGAGAAAGGAGGCGCCCTTCGCCCTATTCCAGGAGGTAATATATACAGTGGAACCCACTTATTGTGATATTCTATTTGCCAGAGAAAAATAGCATAATAACCGATATATCATAATATTAAACCGATCAAGCTGTTTTCAATCGTTTTTATGTTGTCTGAACCAGAAGTGAGATAATCAGACATAGATTGATATGGAAACATAGAAAAATACAAAGTAATAATTGAAATAATTTGTTCATTGTTATTTATATCAGCGTGTTGGAAAAATTTGAGAAGATTTTGTTTTGTCGTCGAAATGATCAGTTTGTATAAATTCTACTTTCACTTTCAAATAACTAGAGCATATTCCGAAGAACTATATTTATACTACATCCTACACTTGTAGCTAACGATATCGTAATGTTACAGTCAAAAGAATGAAAGAAGTGATATAAATAGTCATGATTTACCTATTTTGCAACGAAGAAGTTGAGTTACATTTTGTCCCATAAGCGTAAAACATTTTGCAGCGTTATGTCAATTACAATCACGTGACAATCACATGCCTCACAAGTCGTGTGGTGAGATCAACATGCAAAGAAACAATTAAAAAAATACAAAATTGTCAAGGCGGTATGTCCCGATTTTGACATTTTATCAACAGAGACATGGGGAGATCAACTTCTAATGCAATAGAGAAGCTATTGCTTAAATTATTCAAAACACATGTCTTCTTTCTGAAGTAATATTTTTTTTGAAATCGGCATGATTTTCACACATGACGTGTTAATGTAGACCGTGAATATTTGTGAAAGGCATGCTCGTTTTCTTATGGGAATTTGTGTTAGAAAATGTTGGTGGGCCTAATTATTTCAGTTTTAGATAGCAATTAACTGCACCACATATTTTGTTAAGACTAAAATGTATGACCAGCAAGCGATGGTCGATCTATCATTTTCCGCTGACTGAGGTGAAGCGAGGTGTGAAAAATTTACCTGGAGTGGACAGGTGATCACCTTGGGTGATGTACAGTCATCCGGACCTATTGTTCAATTGTCCAGGTGTTTCACACGAACAACTTACCTGAGTTTTTACCTTATACAATCCATTCACTGCAGAAAAAAATATAATAAGCGGGGTTCCAACTTTGACCATATCATAATAAACGATTGGTTTTTGCTTAGTTAAAGAAGGAAAAAATTGGTACATGGGAAAAACTATAATGAAATCATGGATGCAGTTTTAAGAATAGGAGTATTTCTACAATTTTCAATAATTGGTGTTATTGCAGAAAGAAAATGAAAAAATTGACAGAAATATTTCTTCGGTATTATTTATGACTCTTCTATGAATATGTTTATATTCTCTTGAGCCAGGAAACGTAATCGTACATTATTTTGTTATAGGTTCTCTCCCCCTAGACGACAAAGTCCAGGTCCTTGGTACGGCAACAGGAGATCTCCACCTCGGTTTTCCCCACCCTGGCGACAGTATCGCAGGTCTCCCTCACCACCTCCTCTAAGGTATCTTATTTCTCTCTCCTTTTCAACCAGTGAGCATGCAAAGAAATAATTCTTGTTCTTCAAAGTCTTGATATAAGTAGAAAAACAATATATTATTATTATTCCTAAGATTAGCTTCATCGTTGCAAGTGATTTATCATTACTGATAGACATATTTATAGTGAAGATAATATTTTGATGTTGTATTTCATTGACAAGGTTAAGCAGTAATTTTTCATTGGAAAATGTGATTTGAGAAGGGTAGAACTCAACTAGTTCATTATTATTTGAAACAAGACATTAATTGCTGTATAGACTGTCTCTTGTGACTTAAAAATATAGATGACTGGTGTATGTGCTTTCAAGAATATTTGGAGTAGGTTGTCGTTCAGAAAAAGTAGTATGTAATTTACAGTGACATTCCAAGACTTTCCAGGTAAAGTGTATAGCTTATGAACCTGACACAAATGTCAAAAGTACTTGATGAGAAATTGCTGGCTGCCTACCTGTATTGACAGCAACGAACTGGATGTATTATGTATTTATTCAGAAACTGATGCAGATACAGTTATTATGAAAATGGTAAAATGCTATTGATTTTTTTGAATTTAAATATTTTGACTAGGGATTTTAAAGCTAAGGGTCACTGATTTGTTAGAATTCAATCCTGTTCAAAGTCTTGACATAGACAAGGGTCTTGCATGTTCTAATATGAATAATAGGGCTTGGGAAAGTACTGATTTACCCAGATGAGCATAGATATTTATAATAAATCCGAAACATTTTTAAAATTTCAGGATGGACAGGCGCAGAATGGGCCACTCTCTCTCTAGATCACCACCTCCCTACCAGGGTAGGAGGATGAGGTCACCACCAGGCAGATTCGGTGGTGAGATGAACAGACGAAGATCTCCGCCTCCTGACCGTCGTCGCCAGTTCTCTCCATCACCTCCACCTCAGCGTCGACGAAGGATGTCCCCTGACTCTCCTCCACGCCAGAGGAGGATGCACCCAGAAGATTCCCCACCACCCAGAAGGAGAGGGAATATATCCAATTCCCCAGAGCCAACCAGATGGCATTTGGACAGGGAAGAATCTTCATCTTCACCTCCTCAGCTAAAGAAGGAACGCTCCCCACCAGCTGCAAGAAGGAAGAGATCCCCAGATTCACCCCCAAGAAAGAGAAAAGTCATCCCGAAAAAAGAAAGAGTCTCTGATTCAGAGTCTCCACCACCATTATCGAGAGAACAACAGTCTGAGTCTGAATCATCATCTTGGTCACCAGAGCCTCAACCACAGAGGCAGAAAGCCTCTACATCACCACAACGTATGGCACGTAGGAAGCCATCACCATCCCCCCAGCAGCGGAAGATCAGAGAGCAAGGTTCACCACAGCAAAAGAGACGTAAACATGAATCACCTCCACCCAAAATGAGGAAGAAAGATTCATCAGATGATTCCTCTTCCTCATCAGAGGAAGGAGAGGAGTCTTCAGTCTCTCCTCCACCACCTCGTCAAACAAAGCGATCTAGGAAGTCTTCATCACCTGGTCCTCAGAAGTCACCAGTTCCAAAAAGAAGGCAAAGATCTCCTTCCCCTGAAGTGCAACAAAGACGTAGACGCTCACCACAGTCAAAGCAACGTTCTTCTCCTCCCCGTAGTCTAAAAAAGCGTCAACAGATGTCACCCAGTCCTTCACCATCACCTCCACCAAAGCGCCGTGACTCTCGTGTAAGAGACTCTCCTGAAAGAACCAGGCATCAAAGACAGCAGTCTCCTAGTCTGAGAAGAAAACAATCAGGATCTCCTACTCGGCAAAGGAGAAAGCAATCTGGATCTCCTCCCCCACAAAGAAGGAGACAATCTGGATCTCCTCCCCCACAAAGGAAAAAACCATCTGTATCTCCAGTTCCGCAAAGAAGGAGAGAATCTGGCTCTCCACCTAGACAGAAGAGAAGACAACCATCTGATTCTCCTTCGCAAAAAAGGAGACAAAAGTCTGGATCCCCCTCCCCTCCAAGGCAAGGGGAGTTGGAATCAGCTCCCTTACAGAGGAGAAGACAATCAGGATCTCCTCCCCAAAGAAGAAGAAAACAATCGGACTCTCCTCCTGCTCAACGAGGAAGACCATCTCTCTCTCCTCCCTATCAAAGAGGTAAACAAATCCGCTCTCCTGCTCGACGACAATGGGAATCGCCCTCCCCAGATGGTCCACGCCAAAGAAGGGGTAGGCCAAGTCCTGAACCAGCACACAGAGGTAGAGGAGATGAGAGAAGGCCAAGTCATGGGAGGGACTGCAGAGATGAGGACGTTCAAAGGACCATCACTATCAACCAATTCAAGAGAGAGCGTGATGGAGAAGCTTCTCCAGGATCACACCAGGGCAGGGACGACAGTTTTATGGATGGTGAGGACAGTCTCAAGAGGAAGGTCAAGGACAAGAGCCCACCATCAGGGAGTGACTTTGAGGTAGTTATTCACATAAATAAAGCAGTTACTTAATATCCAATAACAATATTTTGTCAACACATGTCTTTGTAACACCTCCATTTAAGAAGTAATTTAAAGGTCATGTAATAATTCATTGTTGATAAAAAAAGCTACCAAAAATGACAAAAATTCTACTTGATCAAAACATGTTAGGGATTTGATAATGTGATCTTTGTTGTTTCTGATAATATTTGATTGAATACAAAATATGCATTTTGTTGGTAGATAAATGTCTAGTTCTAAGTTGTATGTAGGAAAAATGTACCAAAACAACCCCTTATTCTATACCGTTGCTTGCATCTGACAAGGAAATAAAAGTGACTTTGGATGCAGTGTAAAGGAAGGACCAAGTGTTATATATGTTACAATGTGAAAGATGTCAGTTTTATAAAATAGATAGAATTCAATATCTCAATTAATACAAAAATGTAATAATAAACATTAGTCATAAAAGAATCAAACTTTCCCCAGATCATGCAGCTAGTACTTAAGATTAGGACAAAGAGGTTTAACCCAAAAGGGAATGTTTTAGACAATTTTTACTAAACTTCTCAAGATCTAGAAAAAGCTGTACTTAGCTATTTATTTTGTGAAAACTTGTAGCAGCAAGAAATAGTTACCTCATATCAAGTCCCTCTGACTTTAAATAGGGCCGCACCAATGAGCCAAAGTTCACATAGGTTTAACATAAATGGAGAGAAATTTGTTGACTGCAAGTATTTTAAATGCAGGAGAAATAATTTTACCAGAGGCCTCTACTGTTTCTGCATTGTGTTGGTTTCAAACCAGACATATAGTTGGGTACAAAAGGGAATAATTTTTGACAATTGTATAAGGCAACTGCTGCAAAAAAAAGTTAATATAAATAAATAAAATAACCTCATATCATGACCCTTCGACTCAAAGTGTGACCTGCCAAACATGAAATGCTTCTTCTTTAAAAACTAGTCAAATTTTAACTAAAACTGGCTCGAAGGGTCCTTGTGACATTGTTATGTGTTAATTAAAAGTATCCCTGTCTCTCAAATGTTCATACCTGTTAATAGCCCTAAGAATATTATACTTTTGAATATTCTAGGGGTCAGACGATGCTGCAGGCAAGAAAAAGAAGAAGAAGGAAAAGAAAAAGCACAAAAAACACAAGAAGCATAAAAAACACAAGCACAAGAAAAACAAGGACGGTGAAATTGAAGATGAGGTAAGATTATTACAGGCAACAAATACACAAAATTTTATTAGATAATTTACACCATATTAGTTATACCCTCTGCTTCAACCAAAGCCAGGGGTCTATAATATTTGCTATGTCTGTCTTTCTTTCAATGTTAACTTGTTTCTGGAGCATATTTATGCAAGAACGAAAATAGTTATTTCTGGAGTATATCTCAGCTGCTGTTTCATGAATTGGCGTCATATGAAATTTAGATACTGTAGAACACACAAGATTTTTGTCCACTGTCACAATGGGTCAATATTGGAAATTAAAGATATAGTATGCCAGACTTGATTTTCATACTGTAGTGTAAAGACCACTTTATAGTAAACTTTATTTTAAAACAATAACAAAACGATGATCATCTTCTATGAATCTTATTGGCTTGGATGGAATGTCAGATGGAAACTTGAGTACCCATATGGTTAGGCATGTGGTACAGTGGATAACACCTTTACCCTCACCAAGTTGGCAACATTTTCACTCCCCAAGTGGATGTGGAAAGGTAATGGATCACCTGCCCAACCACTTGGGGGTTTTTCCGGGTCCTTTGGGTTTCCTCACACATCAAGACTTCCTGGGCGCTTCAATATGGGTCAGCAAGAGTGATTAATGCAAGTTGAGTTGAATGTTCATATTTACTGTGAACATAAGGAATAAGAGAATGCTGCTTTAAAATTATTTTTCATTGGCCAATATGTGCCCACTAATATTTGTAGTGAACATAATATTTGATGTTGACAGGGATCGGACAGTGAGGATGACACTGCTGAGCTAGAGGAGAGAAAGCTGAGGGAGAGAGCTCTACAGTCTATGCAGAAGGCCAAGGCATCTGAATTCTCCAACTGATCATCACTCCTATACATGTGGGAAGATGTTGAAAATCTAGTGCAATTGCTATAGACTTCAATAAGTTTTTTAATGGACTTTTTCCTTGGACTGGATTTCATTTTTCATTTGAACAAATCAATAATGTAACCAATGATCATAACATTTCAAGATCAACGAATAACAACCATGGGATGAAACAATATTAAGTGTAATTTAACTTTATTCATTGTAAAAATACTGTGTATCATATTGCCAATATGCTTTTTATTTGAAATATTATATGTCATGCATCCTTTGCCGACACATATAAATGTGTTAAAACCTTCAGTGCTCTGGTGTACAGCTTTTAGCGTTATAATATAGCCAGATATTTGTAAATTACTATGTGTGCTGGTGGCTCATGATTAAAAAATGTTCATCTAATTTCATCAAAAACTGCACAATTGAAGCATGCATCAAATGCAAATGTTAATTTGAAATTGGATACAAATTCATCTGTAAATGTGATGTAAACTATTTTATCTTTAACAAGAAGAGCTCTTTTCTCATAGAGTGTGTGGAATTATTGGATGTTGAATGTGTATATAGTGCTTTGTCATTTGATATCTTATTATTGTTAGTGATAATTTTGATGCCATACTTGATTATCCCCCAGCTTTTTAATCGATACGGGGGATATTAATTTGGGTTTGTCCGTCTGTCTGTCTGTCTGTCTATCACGCTTCGTTTCCGTGCAATAATTACAACAAATGTTAACCAATTTTCTTCCAACTTGGTCACATGGTTAAATGCCTTAAGGACTCGGCCAAGTTTGACAACCTCTTTAATCGGACTCCATTTGGCAGAGAAATGGCCCCTTGATTAACGAAAAACGTCATTATTTACAGTTTCTGCTTTATAACTCTAGCAAATATTAGCCAAATTCCTTCCAACTTGATAACAATGTTTGTGTTCCTCGGTCTTTTCACCCATCTTGGCCACTCTTGGTTTTCGTGTGACAAATGCTGTAGATATTGTTCAGATGTTTCAACCAAAGTCTGATGCACATTCGACTCCTGCTAAGTTTGCCAACTGATGTGATTTGTGCATATTTACGCATAATCAATGAGGTATAGGGTGTGTTTTTTTCTTCAAGTTTCAAGCTATACATTATGTCTCAACAGCACGATACTCACATGTTTAAACCTAACCTCAATAATGTTAACCTACAATATGTCCTGCAAGTGGGGGATATAAATTGCACGAATTTACTTGTTTGGTTTATATTAGATGAATACCTTTGATAACATACAGAAGCAAACTGATGAAAAAATAAAATAATAAAAAAATGGTGTGAATTTCATGTTTCTGTTTTAATGTTTAAAAAATGTGTTGCTTTTCACCGTCTAATGAAGCGTATTTCTGACAGTGCTATATTGCAATCATTTTACCCATTTTAGTTATTTGACTGGTTAAAATTAAATGCCTGTGAGCTTATGGTATGGTACAGCATCCATCGTCTGTTGGAGTCAATTTTTACTTTTAAAGAACTTTAATACTGGAAAACCCAGGGTCCTGATATTTGACTATTAGTTACCTGGGATGAAGTGCTATAAAGTTTCCTCATATATACTACTTACACTTTGCTAAGGTTCACTTTAATTTTTGGGCATATGTGAAAATAAATATTATATTGGTTTATACTGAGATTATTTTGGAAAAAATGATTGTTCTGTTTATTCATCAGCTTGCAAAAATTCCAAAAATCGTAATTGAGCCACAGAAAAAGGGTTATCTTTAACATTGGTAACAACGAGGTATTCACTAAAAAAGTGAAATTGCACAAACTCATCCTAAATAAACAGAAACTGTTAAAGTATTGAGTGTGTCGCCCATGACCATCAATTACAGCTTCACAACGTCTGAACGTGGCCCGAATGAGATACGTATCCTGTTTTGTGGGTTAGCGTTCCACTCGGCTACCAAAGCTGTTCCCAGCTCCTGGAGCCGCCTTGGCTGAACATTTCTGGCAGAGAGCTGTCTGCAGCATGTCCCACACATGCTCGATGGGATTTAGATCCGGTGAGCGGTCATGCCAATCCATTCGTTGAATAGTCCTTGCTGTAGATACTGCTCTTTGTGGCCTAGCATTATTGTCCATAAGGATGAAGTCGGGGCCGATAGCGCCAGCGTAGGGTCTGACATAGGCATCGAGGGTTTCATCGCAGTAAATCCGGGGCGGTAACAGTACCATTATGGAAGACATTGTTAGTTTTCCCACGAAGGCTTATGCCTCCCTACACCATCACTGAACCTCTGCCATATCGATCACGTTCCCAAGGTTGTCTACATACTCTAACGCGCCTGTTTGTAAAGTCGAGACAAAATCTGGGCTCGTCAGTAAAAAGTACAGTTTCCCATTCCTGAAGTGCTGTGAGCTTGGGCCCAATCCAATCTAATCGGTCACTTATAGGTAGGCAGCTAAGGGAACTTGTATTGCTGGTCTGCGTGACCTTCAACCAGTATCATGAAGACGGTTCCTAACTGTCTGAGTGGCTACCTGGGTACCAGAAGCATTTAGGAGGTTATTTCGTAAACCTGTGACAGTCTGGAACCTGTGACGCCGTGCCTGTATGAGCAAAAATCGCCCTAGAACGACCTCTAGCATGACGTCTGGAAGGGTTTCCGTTAGTTTGGAAACGATTCCAAATTCTTGCCACATACTTTGAATACTGGCCAGGGTCTAATGGGAACCTAGTAAGTGACTTTACAAAACCAACTCCTTTTGTTCGAAAGGCCCAGGGACATGCATGACTTGTAGACCAGTAGTGCAAAGCTTTGCTTAGTCCTTGGAACATAACTTAAAAATGGTTGATGTTCCCATCATATCTTTGCTTTAATTTCTAGGCATAAGAAAACAAAACAAGTATGCTACCAAGTTTAGCTCGGGAATTTGACCCTGCCCGTGGAGAAATAATAGTACTACAGTACTACTTTTAATGAATTTTTTAAGTATCCAAGCCAGTGATGTATCTAACTTGAGTTATCATTATGGACATCATGAGGATTCACAAACACTACCCTACTTGGCAAAACAGACAAGTTTGGACTTACTGTTGTGTTCAAGGACAGGAAAGAATATGTCCAAATACTCAAGGGTACAAATGTTTTCCATTCATGAATACAGTTAAAAATAATTCAATGAAATGTGATGTCTGAATGTCAGAGCTGAGAAAATTATAAAGTTGAACGCTATAGGACCTTAGATTTTGATTTAATTACTAGGCAATATATGCTTGTGGCCGATGAAAGGAAGTTCCCCATAGCACATTCAAAATTACACCAAGCATCGTTTAGAGAGTCTTTTTTATGTATGATTTGTAATGATCATTGATTCACGATTAATTTGGTGTACATCCTACAGGACAGCTACGAGTGATCAGAACCACCATTGCAATAAAGCGGTCAACTATTCACCGGGACACAGTAGTTTGGCAGCACACAAAGCACCTACAAGCCCTTGGCACACACTCCACAGAGCAAGATATCTTAAGATACTAGGCCATGGTGAAAGCAAAACCACTGAGGAAGGTCTTGGGATTCGAATTGTTTCTACCTCTCGTAGTTCTGGCATTCCAACAGGCTAGCTACCATATGGAGTTAGGAATATGCACTGTCTGGAGTATGTTCTATTACAGAAGCTTGTAAGAAAAACAAACAAACACTTGGAAAAAATGTGACTTAAATTTAATGTTTAACATGATAAATCGAATTGAAGCTTAAACATAATTATTTAAAAATTCCTAAAATAAATTACATAAGGTCAGCTAAATTATTCACAATAAAACTTCAAATGAAAAGTGACCTTAAATTCATGAAATGTTATCTACTGGTACTTAAAAAAAAATTGGTAAGATTGTTCATCATTGTATAAAATTTATAGGAATTTTCTGTACTTTGTATTGTCCTTGAGTCTGGTGATTTAACCCCTCAGCAATTGTTAAATGTTCATAAGACCAATAATTAAAATTGAAAGGATTTCATATTACATTGCATATACCCTGAGGTAACCAGCTTGCACCCTCCATACCATGCACATCCACACAAGCCCTTATATTGTTAATGAGAGCCACTCCAACTGAAATTGTTGAATCAAATTTAAAAATTAAATTCAAAAAATTAATCTTTTTAAAAAAATCAAAAAAAGCTTTAAAAAAGCTTTATTATACAATTAATGTATATAAATCCATTATATACACACCTTCGAATATTCATCAATGCCCAAGTCTATCAAAAAATGAAGAGCATAATAAAAATACAGAGTATGTAAACATGAAAAAACTTGGAATAACTGATAAATACAATTGTCAATTACTGTTGAAAAATGTATAACAATTAACTCTTCAAATTCCAAACATGGCTCTTCACAACCTTGAACTAAAAAAAGTAGATTTTTTCAGGTCATATAGGCCAGGTGCATCTGTTACATTAAAATTACAAATAATAAAAACTTGCCCAGAATATAAAGTTGTGGACAGAGAGCACTACAATATTATTAAATGCAAAAAATCAGCATACCATACTAAAATATAACCATTGGAATATATCTCTTGCATTTGAGAATGCATATAATGTATGTAAGTTTATATTTATTTACATGATAGTCTGGTAATATCAAATGATAGATCTGATTAGTATATTTTGTGGTGATCGGTCAAGGTAAAAGATCACACCTGACAACTTTTGAAGTAAAATGATTGTGAAGAAGACATCTCAAGAACCCCTCAACAAATTTAGTTCATATTTACACCTTAGTATGGTAACATTGAGTTCTGCCCCTAACTAAAAGGAGTTTTATCAAAACAATTGTGTCAAATTTGAAAATGACTATATTTAGTGTATCCGAGCAGGCGGATGGGGTGGGGCACATTGGGTTCCTTATAAGGGTGTTCATTATTGTTTCTGTGTGCTCTTTTTATGTAATAAAGTGGTTGTAGACCTTTTTTCATAAAAATTAAAACATATATAATTAAAAGTATAATCGCACTGTTCACATACCAGTGCATGGTATATTACTGACATACACAGTACATGGATATAGTCCTATTGAGCACCAAAGTTTGGATCGACTGAGATGTTTTAAATCCCTTTAAAGCACCAGAATTATTACAGGTAATATTGAACAATTCTCTCCTGGATACAAGGATGAGTGACACTAAAATCAATCGAGGAAATTGTGACACTAAAATACTTGTATAATTTGTGTCTCCTTGCCAAAAGAACAAGTTTCAAGCAGGTTAAAAACAATAAATGAAAATTTCAACAAAGATTAATTAAGTTAAAACATTCAATAATAGTCAATGACAGTACTGGTCTCCAATCAGCTCAGCCTCTCCTCAATCATCCACACTTGATTCTTCCATTTCTTCATAGGAGTCTCTGGAGGGTGTACCGTCTATAGTACGGTTTATAGTGATGTCTGCCCCTTGTGATTCCGTCGACTGGCAAGAATATATAGCGATCCCACTAAGAATTAGTACGAAGGACACAAAGTACAGGATGTGGAACTACAAAGGAAAGAGAAATACTCAAGACATATGATTGGGTTTAAGATGAAAGTTCAAGTTACAGTATTGAAAGAGTCGGAAAGACATTTAAAGTTGTTCAACCTTTGTTTATGTAATGATAACTTTTGATACTACTGTAAAAGGATTGAAACATGTCAGTAATTAACATAATATGTCCTTTCTAGTCTACCCATCTATATAAAAGTAGCAGCATATATAGAGAAATTATCCTGCAAAACACCAGCAGTAAAATATTGACTCCCAGTGGATTTTCACCAGAGATACAAAGTTCAGCATGAGATAGGCGAACCAATAATTTTGCAAATACATGCTCTCTACAGCAAGCTTCTTAATCAAAACAATAAATATAATCAATATGAAATTCCAAATTAAGGACTTACTTCATATTTAAACAGGTAAAGACCAAATAGCAGAGTGTAGAAATCTGCAGACAGGATGGAGATGTTGACGGCCGTGGCGCTAGTCTGTTGAATCACTACAGTCATACAGGTGTACATGAGGAACTGGAAAACTGTGAAACCTATCAGAGGCAGCACTGTAAAACAACAGGTGTTGTTAGTAACAAACAATACAGACATTTTAAACAACAACGAACAGGTATTGTAAACGATAAGGAATTTTAACACAACAGGTATTGTAAACAATAAAGAATTTTAACACAACAGGTATTGTGAACAAAACAACAATTATGACATTGTAAGCAACAAACAATATAGATAATGTAAACAACAGCACACAGGTATTGTTTGACAGATTTTGTAAAACACAACAGGTATTAGAAACAACAACAATACAGATAGTGTAAGACAACACAGATACTACCAACCAACACCAGTATCGTAAAACATCTATCATGTAGGAAGAAGGTTCAATTGTATGCAACTCTTGTTTAACAAAGTTGTATTGTTACTGTAAGGGTAAAGGGTTCTATCATAGTACACAGTATCTGGATTTATAGCAAGGTTCTATAGTTCAGTGTTGACAGGGTTATTAGATATACAATCTTTGAATCTCATAGATAGTCATTTAAAGATTTTCATTGTATGCATTGAAAGTCAACATTTAGGAGGTTTACTGTATATATATCATACTTACATATATGGTAAGAAGAGAAGTCAATTTCTGCAACTCTATCCCGTTCTGTGACGACGCTAAGGAAACAAATTAATGAAGGCTAGTTATTGTTCTGTTCCTTATATTTTCTTAAGTATTCTGATCTAACTATTTGCTAATTATTCCTACCAGGTTTCAGTTGATTCTCCTAAATAGAACTAGGGTAAGGTTTTTTTCAGCGATTTTGTAAACTGGTACAAAAGTAACAAAGGTCAGTCACAGAATGAATGAACACCAAGAATGACCCCCAAAGTAATAAAATCACTTACCGGTAGTCAAGAGCATATTGTTTTGGTATATTTCATCAAAATTCGCCAAGCATATCATTCTAATTACCGGTATACACAAATGTTTTTAAAGATGGAAGCCATGATGGTTATCTTATATTACAGATCCACTTGGATGAAACCAGATTTGGTCCCGGCGAAACGTTTCTGAAATTGACGGTCTGATTACTAAGGCAAAAGCTCACATAAGCTTACCTCAAGTGAGAAAAAAAATCTGTTCAGATTATTTTGAGTATATAGATGACTGCACTGATAACTTTTTATGAGGATAAACAAAGGAGCTAAAACCAACCACGCTCAGGCGTACCTGGTATGTACAATTCTGACATTACAATCATCAATGGTTACATTGGGGTTTTCTGTGAGAGATCAGACGGTGAACAGACAACAGAGTATAGATAAGGTATTATACTGAACTTTATGTGGTTTAAGGTATCATGTCTTATTCTATATATTACTCACAATTGTATTCCATTGACAAAACTCCCGAACAGACCGACCATGCCCAGGAAGTCTGCCTTATCATGAAACTTGACGACATACTCCTCAGCCACGTTAGACACGCCGTACAGGGAGGCGCCTGCGATACACAGCAGGTCTCCTAACAGCTTGTTGGGTGCTTCACGAGAAACAAAAATAGCATGAAATCGGTTGAACAAGCTATAGGTGAGCAGGGTAATATATAAAGTAACAGATCATAGAATTAATGATACCCTGGCACTATTTATTACATACCATGTGAATCTTACTACCTATATATATATATTTTAATTAGATTTACATGGTTACATGAAAATATTTAGCACATAAAAGGCTCCTTATTTCACACTGTCGAAATACAGATGTTTTATTACCCAAGTTAAGAGTGGGGTTTTTTCTGTATTACTCCTTTATTTACAGCAATGTATCAAAATAAGAATGGTTTCCAAAAAACAATGACACTATGAGTCAATGTAATGCGACATCATTATCCTTCTCCACCATTGTTTTGATGGTCATGGCTCCCTACACTTGGGTCTTCAAACAGTAAAATTAAGCATACATCTAAGATAAACCTGTATGACTGCTGAGCAGGATTTTTAGAGAGAAAAAATACATAAATACCCACACAGGCTCATGTTATATGAGATAATCAGTGAGCAGATATGGATGGTATTGCATAATGTCTGAATGACCTTGATACAGTAAACAACATTACTTCACTCTGACTCTTAACGGAACAGACAGAGAGACAGATGGACATGACACAAACATATATTATCAAGCATACTACACACTTTCTAATCATGAAGCACACATCTTTAAAATTTCATAAAACAACTTAAACTGTATGAACAGGAAGATGAGACTTAAATTGAACGGTACAGGAATAATACACTTTGTTCAACTGCATCTTTATGCATCAATATGATATAATAGAATTTAATTCTAAGATTAATTTTGTTTTTTAAAGTCCTGAAAATTTAATCAAAATATTGGACATGATATGACCCTGGTGTAAATGCATGAATTAACTCTGTTGCTGGATTCAGTTGTATAACCCTCTGTTGCTGGACTCACAGTTGTATAACTCTCTGTTGCTGGACTCACAGTTGTATAACCATCTGTTGCTGGACTCACAGTTGTATAATCCTCTGTTGCTGGACTCAAAGTTGTATAACCCTCTGTTGCTGGACTCAAAGTTGTATAACAAGGCCAAAGTTAAACTGCAGTGAAAATTTTAAACACTATACTCTTCTCATGATGTCAACTACCTTTATGTAACCAGATTGAGATTAAGGCCAGTCTATACCCCTCACCTCATCTCTATCATCACAAAAGTTAGGCAGTAAATGAACTTAGGTTACCTTTCCCAGCGTCCTTGACATTTGCATTGCCAGACAGGAAATCAGTAAGGATCAGTCCACCCATGCCCAGGAGACAAACAACAATTCCTACGAAGTTGAGTGGTTTGTACCGAATACGGAGGATGAGACATGACAACAGTAAAACCATAGGTATACTGAAACAGTCCAGCAGCTGTAAGGGAACAGAGACGGTAAAGTATAAATATAAGACAATGGCTTTGTTTCATCATCATTTAAGCTAAAAGAATTTGTTCCTCTGTATCAGATAATTATATTTAAAAAAATATCTATAGACATTTCACTTTTAATTCACTTTTTTTTTTGATATCTATAAAAATTCCATTTGACTTATGACCTACCTGTACACTGGTGACAGTTGTGTACTGATAGGCACTGACCACCAGAAAGTTGGCCTCTACGTCAGCAATGGCGATGAGGATATACTTCCAGCCCCATGTCTTCAGGCGTTGACACAGATTCCTCTCGCCAGAGCGACATGCCAGGACAGGCGTGAACACCACACACAGCAATAAGTAGTTGAGGAAACATTGGGCTACATAAAGGGAACAACTTTATTATATAGATTTTATTGTTGATTTATTAATATTGAGTAAAAAAAACACAACACCTACTGTTAATATTGATCTATTTTGGGGTGTTATTTCCCAGGTGTTCTATAATGCGTTTTTGGATGGCTGCATTGGCTGGGCCAACTGTCGTTAAATATAATATAGAAAAATCCCTGTTTATAGTTTACATGAGTGGTCATTTTCTTTTAATCTAAACATGTCAAACATGGTACATGTATTGTATATCAAAAGAGTACAATAGACATATGGCAAAATTTTGGTAATGACAGCCTTATATGAAACCCTTTTGAACCAGGCCCCTCTCCTTAGACAAACTGTTTATTCATACATTGTACTGTTCCCTTAGTCCAGGAATCCTCTCAACCAAATAAGGTAGTCCTGTTTTCCATGAAGAGAAGAGTATAGGCATTTAAATATTTATCTCTATTTTCCCTATACTATGTTCAGTCCCAAGGGCCAAGTTTGCTCTATTCCGTCTTTGCATATTGCAGAGTTATCTTCTCTTGTGAGCAGGGATTGATTGTTACGTCATTGGTTTGTGAGAGGAACGTCATCAAATTTTGAGAAAACGACACATTTTTTTGACACAAACCAATGACGGAACAATCAATACCTGCTCACAAGAGAAGACAACTCTGCAATATGCAAAGACGGAATACCAAATTAAGTCGAAACCTTTTTTATTTACCCATACTCAAAGAGTAGGGTTTAAAGATTATTTAATCAACATTGAGGCACTGGCTCAACAATGCTCCAGACCAAAATATAGTCAAAACCATTCAGTCATTCTTAACTATTAGTATTCCAAAGGAAAAGTTGAAGTGAGATGCCAGCCGGAATACAATGGTCGGAACAACACACACCAAACCATGGCATAAGTTTACTTTACCTTTCAGGACAGGTGAACTACAAATCCTATTAATGTGATGGTCTAACTACGGTCCCAAAGACATTCAGCAGAAGTAACCTCACTTTTACTATCTCAATGTTCATGGGTGATATTAAGCGTATATATATATATGTAGGTTACAGACAGTTATTGTGTGGTTACTGGTAAAAATAAGTAAATATATATTAGATCAATCAAATTGTAGATGATGGTGATAATGATATAAAACATAGTCACCTACCTGTTGTTATGATAACATTGACCTTGTAACTATGGGGCTGTACCTGTTGTTATGATAACATTGACCTTGTAATTATGGTGCTGTACCTGTTGTTATGATAACATTGAAGTTGTAACTATGGTGCCGTACCTGTTGTTATGATAACATTGACCTTGTGACTATGGTGCTGTACCTGTTGTCATGATAACATTGACCTTGTAACTATGGTGCTGTACCTGTTGTCATGATAACATTGACATTGTAACTATGGTGCCATACCTGTTGTTATGATAACATTGACCTTGTAACTATGGTGCTGTACCTGTTGTTATGATAACATTGACCTTGTACCTATGGCATCGTACCTGTTGTTATGATAACATTGACCTTGTAACTATGGTGCCATAACTGTTGTTATGATAACATTAACCTTGTAACTATGGTGCCGTAGTTGTTATGATAACATTGACCTTGTAACTATGGTTCCATTACTGTTGTTATGATAACATTGACCTTGTAACTAAGGTTCCATTACTGTTGTTATGATAACATTGACCTTGTAACTATGGTGACATACCTGTTGTTATGATAACATTGACCTTGCAACTATGGTTCCACACCTGTTGTTATGATGACACGTACTGACCTTACCATTATGGTCACCTACCTGTGGTTATGATGACCTTGACCTTTTGAACTATGATCACCCCATTGTGGTTGTGATGACCTTGGCCCACTTATATAAAACATCTCAAAGTTAAGGAAAATTCTCAAGCAATATATTGTCTATTGGAAATTTTAGACTTGAGGAAATCTAATTTAAAACAGTGTAATTATATGAACTCACCAGTTGGGATATTCACTCCCTGGTTAGACAAAAGACCACTAGTGACTGCTAGTCCACACAGGAGAAGAGATATAAATTGTCCCAATAAAACAGCTTTCCAGAAAATTCTGAAAAATCAGACAAATAATACAAACTATATTTTTACTGTATGTTCTACCAGGGACGTCTATATACTGTCCCTGGTTCTACGTCTTAAAAATCGGTCCAAAATATCAATCCAGTAATGATTTTATTGTTGTGAAATTTCAAAAACAGGTACCAGGTATTTTCTGTTTTATTAGTAAAAAAATAAATAAGTTATGCTAAAACATTTATAATGTCATGTCATACTGATATCCCCCAACTACTAGCCAACTTGGCATGTGCAGCAAGCTTGATGATAAATATCACAGAAAGAAAACCCTAATTAAGGTCTGATGGCCTGGGTCCAGTATATTTTGTTCTGCAGGAAAGTGAAAAGTTTTGTTTATACTTGCTGGATGAGCTTGCACAATTTGTTTTAATTTCTATTTCTTTTTACTTTGTTCACATCATACAGATTTATTAGTTAAACAACTGACAGGAGAAAGAGCTTTGTTTCTGTTAAAAAAAAAGAAACATAAGGTTAGGCTTATTCCATTAATCGTATATTTTATGTACATGACTATCTCTAAGTAGTACAATATTTTATCTCCAGCCAAAGACTACAGTGCTTTCGAAAACTATGATCTTGCCTACTTATTTTTGGTCAGGGATATCAAATCTACGTAGATGCTTTTAATGCATAAAGTACACCTACAACCTGGATAAAGGGTTTCTATATATATACATGCACCTACCAAATGTTCCAAGAATGGTGGCAATGATGGACAATCATGTTAAATTTGAGAAAAAGTTATGTATTGTCATTAAGTTCTGTATTGTCACTAAATTCTACTCATTTACTAACACAGACCTTGCCCTAAGAGCTTTGCGAGCCCCATTGATAAGTTGTGTACACTTGTTCCCACAGGTCTGTTCCTCGTCACCATGTTCATCGTAATTCAAATTAGAAGTTAAATTCTCACTATCGGTGCCAGATAAACAGCCCATAGTCCTTATAGTGTACAACTTGACTCATCACAACTCTATTCACCTGCAAACAAAAAAGGAAAGATTCAATGGACATATTGACCCGGTAATAATAATCATTATGAAAAAAATATATTAATGCAGCTGCTGGTTTAGGATTCAATGAAGTATCTTCAGGCTACAAAAGATATTATATCCATTTTTTTTTTTTTATATTACAATGCGGCTGGCAATATCACTATATATATATGGCAATTTCAGTTTTTAATTCAACTTAATCTGCGAGTGACACTGGCTTAACATGAAAGTAATTGTGCAACATCTGTGTTAATAGCATATATTGCTAATATATATATATATACCACTGCTTCACCACGTGTTCAGTATGTCCTGCAATAGCCTAATTATACAATTTCTGATGTCACTCATCATGTCATCTATACAGTTTGAAAACTTCGACACTTGTCAAAATTTTAAACTTTTGACTTACCAATGATAAATTATTGACCTTCGCACTAAATGAAAACAAGTAGATTTGAGAAATATTGAATAGATCACAGTATGTCTGTCAACAGCATGGCATTGTAGTGAGGTCACTGATCAAGGATACCCTAGTGTCAATATATTGTGATAGTCACTCATCATAGTGTAAGTGATAAGATGTCAGATAAAGATCTTTTTATTTCATATTGACATCCACTGAGCAATGCAAAACAACCAAATAGAAAGTTTGAATTCAATCCATACGATAACTTACACATAGGTCAGGCCCAATCTCCCCAATTCTATGAGTATGATTGTAATGAATATGTATTATCGGAAGACATGTTTACATTTCGATGGCTCTGGCTTCCCCGACTTTCCACTCGAATGCACCCGTAGAACACAGAAATGTTATAAGCGGCACAGATGTATAATTTCTATTTTCGCCTTAACAACAAATGTAAGTGAGCTTTAAGGTATTTTACATTTAAATCTATGTTTTTCTCTAGCAAATTTCTAGCAGTGCTTATTTAATATCAGGAGATAGAAATCTATGTACGTGGGTGTTATTATTGACAAATTTGTAAGTGTGTAAGCGACCTAATTTGGAACTGTCGTGTTGTAAAAAAACGAAAAAAATGAGAAAGGCATATGTAGCTGACGTGTAAGTTGATTATTTGGAGAAAACAAGGTAAATATGTTGTTTCCCGATTGGAAAGCAAAAGAAAAGAAACCTTTTCAAAAATGTAATCAAATGGGACAGACATATGTTCATGAAACCGTGTTCTCCAGTTCTCAGCTTCAGCAGCTGTTCGCGACTGTGTGCACCTGTTGCACAGGCCTAGGGCTGTTTTCGTGTAAACGGTCAAACCGGCCAGGCCACTGTTATTCGTTTATTAAATAAGGTCGGTCCTAGTAATCTGATGCTGCTTTTAGGCGAGCCTTGCAAGGCCTGCATATATATATATACATATTTGCAGGTCCGCCAGGGTTTATACCCGAAATTGTTACATTTATAAACGGTCAAACCGGTTGTTCCGCATAAACGAACAGGCCCATGGTGTTTGAAATTCTGACTGTAAATTGAGATAAAAACCATGCTATAAAAAAAGTAGTAATACCCTTATGATTTTTATCTCAATTTACAGTCAGAATTTCAAAAACCTTTGCTTGTCGTAAATGTCAATGCACCAACCAAACCGGCATCGATGTAAACTGCGGGATTATTACCGATACAATGTAGACATATGTCAAATGAAAGGCCTCGGGCCATTTTCATTCATCATTTCTCACAGTTTGAATAGAGGAATTATAATTTTGCCAAGTGTAAATTATATATAGAGTGATCTAGTTACTATACTGTAGTACTAGTAACACTACTGTCAGTACTGATCTAAACATTTCAAAATAACGTTTTCAAAGATAATTGTCTACAATCATCATAGTTTGGTCAGATTGTTCTTACGAAATCAAAGTTTTAGCTTTTTGTTTTCATGTGTATCGCTTTTCTATGATTTAGATTAAACACTTATGATTTAGATCAGACGCTCTACCACTGAGCTAAAGGGAAATTCCCTCCAGTTCAAAGCTAGAAGGCGACCGTAATTCTATGTACAGTTAAAATCTGCCACACTACTCTGCCCTATTTAAATTTGTTCACCCTCAAACAACACAACCCAGGTTCTAACTCCAAGCTGTCACCACAGGGAGGGCCACAAACACCATTTGTAATTAACAGGAAAGAGAATAGTATGCTCCTAATTTGGATTGAACCTGCGATCCTATACTTCCTAGTCAGACGCTCTACCACTGAGCTAAAGGGAAATTCCCTCTAGCTAGAAGGTGACTGTAATCCTATGCAAAATTAAAATCTACCTCACATACAAAAGTAACACATTGTTTCTGTTAACACTGATACTGTATTGCTACTTAAACAATGATTATAAATATCACTAATATACCTCACACAAATAATAACAACAATTTACAACATTTGTATAACGCCCTATATAATTTGTAAGCACTTTACATCATATGGATAATAGTATTAGTTATAAAATTGTTCAACAAAAAGGCTAGCACTCATCATTTTATATTAAGCAAGAAGATAGTCATCTCAATGTGCACATAAATGAATAAATAAAAGGTGGTATTTACATGACGTCTATGCAAAGAGCCTAGAATGCAGACATAAAGAGGTGAATTTTTATGACCTTTTTTAATTTGGCCAGGGTATTTTACTTTCTAAAAGCAGATGGTATGCTATTCCACACCAAAATTTTGTACTGCGACCTGTATCGTACAGGTAACCAGTGCAATGAATATAGCACAGGTGTGATGTGCTTTTGAGTACGAGTAACCAGATGTGCTGCAGTGGTCTGGACCCTCTGCATATGACTAGTTAGTTTGTCGGATATACCACAAAGCACGGCATTACCATAATCCAACCGAGAGGTAACAAGTGAATGCACCAAAATCTTGCATGCACCTGCAGTTATAAACTGCTAGATACAGCCGATGTTCCTGATCTGGTAGTAAAAGGATTTGGCAATAGCGTTCACTTGTTTCTCCATGTTCAGTGTACCTTTGAAATATACCCTCAGGTTTTTAACAGCTGGGTCAGTCTCAATAGTTCTGGCACTGACCTTGAGCTGGAGAGTCATTGGGGAAAAGACGATTAGTTTCATCTTTTCCTGATTAAGCTTCAGCATGTTGGCGTTCATCAAGGAACTCATGTCTTCCAGACAAGCTTCCAGATTTTCTGATGACAATGAACTCTTGGATGTGACCAACATTCACACTCAATTACACAAATACACAAAATATCAATTACATGCAAGGGCGGATCTAGGAAAATTGATCTTTATATATTATATACATAAATAAATAGCGCTAATAAATGGCAATAATAATTTGTATGAGAAAAATATTGATAATATAATTTAGATTAAATATCTAAAGAACCCGTGTCAAGCGTGATTTTGCTGATTGACTGTACGGTACCCTACACCAATCCAGTAAATCCGATAAACACACGTTTGACCAAGAAATACGTCTGTGGAAGAGGAAATGGAGCTAGAGCCTGACAGCGACACGACCATCCACGCTTCACGATGCACTGGAAACTACAAACAAGCACATGTACCCAAATATTCACACCATTTCTCAGTATCTTGCTCATAATGCCAGTGTCCAGTGCTACTGTTGAGCGAGGAAACTCTGCCTTGAAACACATCAAGACGTCGCTCAGGAGCAGCATGGGACAGAGCAGATTGTCGAACTTGACACTGATGTGTTCGTTCACAAAGACATACCACTATGTTACTCGCAGATTGTGAAACTAATTTTCAAGAAGTTCCCGAGACGAATGACAAGCGGAAATATGTTTTATGATTGAGTGACATATTTGCGCTTATGAGTGGGTTTGGGTGCATATGGACTTTGTATGGTTATATTATTGATTGTATCAAAAGTAGGGTGATCATATATATAATATATGCTGTACTCTTGTGTTACTGTATATATGTTATGTTGTATTTTGAACCCATGAACCGTAAGCCTCAAGTTAATTTTAAAAGTACTTGAACTTGAAGACAACTGCTTTAATTTTGAGACTCTCCTTAATGTTGATTTGCATTTCTCAAACCTCTGTTAAAATTATGGTATTATCACACTTATTTTTGTACGAATTTCCACTTCAGTATAATAATGTACCAGTTTCATAAGGATTAAAAAAAAACGAAATCGAGTTTCTTTTGATGTCTCGTTTTTCAACGGCTTCCAAAGTCGTGAAATGCTTTCAAAAACGAAAACTGTTCAACCAACAGTTTTTTATAATTACCAATAGATATAGCGATTTTCAAAAACGAAAATTAATCCATTTTTTTTATAGAGGTAAATTAAAGTAGATTAGAAGTGCATTCAGCAATAACATACAAAGGAATTACGCAACTGTGTGGTAGTCATGAATATACGGAAGTGTGCCAAGATGCTTAAAAAACATCACATTAAAACTGAAAAAAAGAGACTTTACAGGGTAATATACACCAATCTGAGACCAGATAATTTGTTGATTTCATGATGGAAAAGTACTGAAATGCAACCTCCGGCCATCGACATATTCAAAAAAATCAGGGGGAGACCCCCCGTACCCCCCTTACCGTTGGGCGGCCTGTGGCCGCCCGCATCGCCTGCGGCGCTCCACCGCGCTGCGCTCGGCGAACACTTTTACCGGGAGCGCGCCCCCCCGTTCAAAACATCCTGTATCCGCCCCTGACATGTACATATACTTTCTGTAATTTGATGACTTTAGTGCCAAATATGAAATATCCTTGATTAATTGATTTATTACTGTAAAACTATTTCAGGTGTACTTGAGACATGGCAATTGTACAAAGGTAGAATTTGTGCTGCTAGAGATATCCAGTAACTCATTTTAAGACATCTTCACAATGGAGGATCTCTTAACACAGCTGATGAAAGATGCCTCGTCTCAGAAGCATGCAGGAATCAGGAAAGCATCACAGACAGCTCTGGGTAAATAGCAAACATTCTGTGACTCCTCAATGCAAACACACCAAATATTGGCTAAAACCAAATGTATGCATGTACTCTGTGTCGTTTGTACTTAATATAAGGTAAAAATGTATGTGTTATTTGTGAATATATCTGATAGTTTTGTTTCAGACTTATTGGAGAATCCCACTTTGATAACACAGACTCCTGCATACATCTTAAGAGAAAAGTGCTTAGAACCATTACAACTGGCGTTAGAATCTAAAACAAAGAAGTTAGCAACATATGCAATTGGAGGAATACAGGTAAAATGTACATTATGTCTCTACCATTTTATGAGTGACACATGGCATATCTTCCTAAATCATAGTCATTGCACACTATTGACTTAATTCCCTTACAGATTTTGATCAAACTTTATACAAAAGTTCAGTTTGAGAACACATCCAATGTGTTCTGTTTCAAGGTTCAAGTATCATGCTTACAGTACATGTTGCTATTTATGGAAAAGAACAAATAATGGGTCAAAGGTAAAATCACTTTAAGTAGTGTTTTGCTTTCCTTTGCCATAAGTTTTGAATGGCTCCATATCTTTTTTATGAGGCACGGTAGTCTAGTGGTAGGACGCCGGGCTCATGACTGACATGGTTGGGCAGTGCTAGAAATGTAGAATACTAGCTGTGAGCGCCGAAATGGCAGCACCGGCTGTATGCTCCCAAAGGAGTTGAAAAAGATATTGGCTGGTTGCAAGGGCCCTATAACCACGGATAATAATTTGTGAACCGCTTTGAGACAACCTACGAACTAGATTGTGATAAAACGGTATATAAGAACCTCAAATTATAATTATATTATTATTGTTATGAATCTTCATATATGGATGTATCATGACTGAATGATGTGTCACATCCTGAGTCAATACTTCACAGCAGAGGTCAACTAAAGGTTAAATCATTGTGAGCATTTTGGTGCATTTTATGACAAATCAGTGTGTGTTCTTGTAGCAAACATGTGTTGCACTCAGAACTTCATTGTGATTATTATTTCAGGTTCTCTGTTTTGTTATTCAAGATATGGAATTGCCATTGTATATCTGTATGGTGAAAGCATCAGTGTGGATTTTATCACTTTAAGACATCAATTAATTTGTCTTCTTTTTCATTCTTTTAATCCTGTACGATGCAATTTATTTATGTAAAAATGGCTACAAATAATGTCAGTTCATACATATGTAATATTTATAACAATTTTGGCATTTCCAGCAAATACTGAAGGATGAGAAATTCCAGTCGAGTATGGAGAGTGACAAGGAGGAACACTGGATGCCCATCCAGATCCTCAACACAGTATTCAGCACACCCTCCCTACCCGAGGACACCCAGGTGGAGATTATGAAGGTATATCTCAAAAGGCTTTGGCAGAATTGTTCCAGCATGGTTTTCTGGCCACAATTGTTCATGTTTTAGATAGAAGATTGTTTCTGCTGATTTTTGGCATTTGTAAGGATTATTATGATGATTTCTTCTGCCCTGAATTAGCTTAAGTCAAGATAATGAAAATACATGTATGTAGTGTATTGTGAATGAGATAATGTTGTTTTTATTTTCATGATTTTAAAAACCCATCATGATGATTTGTGGGCTGTATCAGATCATGAAATGAAATACATGGATAAAGGACTACTATTGAACCCTCCCAAAGTACAGCACTATTTCAAGTGATATTTGGTACACAAAATCCTTACATTGATGGGTGTGTTAATAATGTATATAAATTAGAGATTCCTCACCTATTTTTGGGGTAATGCCCCATTATTTTAAAACTCTTGAAAGAACTATTCCTAGTGTTCTTGGCACAGGCGAAGGGTGTTAGTCTGCCATTCTTGTGACTGTTTAGTGAACAATGTAAAAGGAATGGATAACAGGCTGAATAGTATTTTGACAATGACAACAATTGTGATAGATATACTATGCACTATGCAGTGTCTTTGCTATGAAAATGTTGCATGAAAATTGATCCACTATTGATTAAGAATTATCAGAATACATGTAATGCTGATTAAGCTAAAGTGAGGTTTCCTAATCTAGATGGTCTATAACAGTGACAGAATGATGCTTACACCCTATATAGATAAATAAACACTGTGTTACTTTTGCATCCTCTGTTGTAGTTGCTACTAAAGATGACATTTTCCACGGCTTGGTGTATGAATGCAGGAGTTATCACTAAAGTGTCCCAGGTAAATGATATTCTTAACAAACAATTTCTTTAGTGGGTGTTTATATTATCCAGTAAATTTCTGCTTCAGGTTAATGGGAATTTTGTATGTTCATGTAGTTAAATCAGATAATTGCATACAACTTTTTTCTGGTATGGTGGTCTGATCAGTGAAAGCCTGCAGGTAGCACTCTTTCTTGTATCAGTATTCTTTCTAAAAACGATGAAAGAAAAAGATCTTTTTCTTTTAATTGTAAAGATGTATTAACTCATTCACCCCTAAGGACTCAATTGAACTCTTCCAATTCAAAGGTTGAAATAGTTCATTATGAAATTTCAGGGGTGAATAAGTTAATATAATGCTTACTTCAGATGATGGCTGCAATTTTCTTACATTTATAACTAATACTAATTATAAGTTCAGGTATTGTATGGTTCTTCAAGAAATGTATGATAAGTGAATTTATAAAAGAACTGATTAGAAATGTAGTGAGCACGCAGATCAGTACAAAATTAACGATATATATGATCAATAAACATTAGATTAAATATATTTTAACTAATAATTGAAAATAAACAGTAATTACAACACTGATGTGTATATTATATACCCAGAATATACAAAATCATCAGGTTGCACACACATATACACTCATGTACTATAGAACAGATTAAGTAAACACATTTTCATGTTTTATACTAAGAGAGGTACATGTATTTCACAAAAGCATTCTTATAATGTTGTACACATGTTTAAAGCACATTCTACATGCATTCCCAAAACATAGTACACATCTGTTATCAGTGTATTGTTCAACATTCCCTATTTTATTGTACATGTGTTTCCATTATAATGTTGTACACATGTTTAAAGCACATTCTACATGTATTCCCAAAACATAGTACACATCTGTTATCAGTGTATTGTTCAACATTCCCATTTATATTGTAAATGTGTTTCCATTATAATGTACACATGTGTTTCCAGTGTATTTTGTTCCCAGTACAATATAAATGCACTCACAGAATACTATGTATAGCGTTTCCAGAATGTAGCACACATGTATTTTAAGTGAACGGTACACATGAGTTCCAGGTATGTTGTACATGTGGCGAGTTTTGTAAATGTGTGTGCCATGTGTTGACAGGTGTACATAGACACCTACATGGCTAGCACCCACAGTGTGCGAGGGGCGGTGAAGGCTGCCCTCACAAAGCTGTTGAGCAGTTTTACAGAAAAGCTCCAACAGGGGCAGAATGTAGCACACATGTATTTTAAGTGAACGGTACACATGAGTAACAGGTATGTTGTACATGTGGCGAGTTTTGTAAATGTGTGTGCCATGTGTTGACAGGTCTACATAGACACATACATGGCTAGCACCCACAGTGTGCGAGGGGCGGTGAAGGCTGCCCTCACACAGCTGTTGAGCAGTTTTACAGAAAAGCTCCAACAGGGGCAGAATGTAGCACACATGTATTTTAAGTGAACGGTACACATGAGTAACAGGTATGTTGTACATGTGGCGAGTTGTGTAAATGTATGTGCCATGTGTTGACAGGTCTACATAGACACATACATGGCTAGCACCCACAGTGTGCGAGGGGCGGTGAAGGCTGCCCTCACACAGCTGTTGAGCAGTTTTACAGAGAAGCTCCAACAGGGGCACAATGATGAGGTGGTAAGATTACACATCGTCTCTGCACGCTTTGTGTAATTTGTGTGGTTTTAATTTACTTTTATTATTTAACTATTTATCCAGAGCTGCATCTTGTGTTTTTAGTTTTTAGTTTATTTTACACTGTTCTTCCCAGGACTTGTCATAGTTTTAACAAAAATATAACTATTTTGATGCAAAAGCTATTAATGCAATTTGTGTTTTGTTATATAAAGAACCTTTTTCTTAATACATTCTATCAAATATGTACTTTGTGTCAAAAAAACCCACTTTGTAAAATGATGCATGATTTTGTTTTTCCTATACCAGTTACAAGTATATCCAATAGTTGCATGCAGAATACACACTACAGGAGCCTGGGGAGAACTCTGATTTCATTAAGATGTTGGATAATTAATTATTATTTATTGCTTATGCTCAACATGATTGTTACAGTTCATGCATACAAATTTCCAGGTAAATTCATCTTTATATATATTTTTTCATCCTAGACAAAATCTCCTTGTATTGCATTTGTCTTTAACATAACATCATAAGGTAGTATACATAACTATCTTATAATACATTTAACATTCATAATTAGTATTTATCTTTCATTTTGTTCCTTAACAACCTTCACATGAAAGCTTGGTAATTTAATGTGTAATAAGTATAACTTTTCTTTGAATTACAATTATACTGTTTATGCTAGGGTATGCTAAGTATTTGATTGATTAGTGGGAATAATTTCCTTCAACCAAATCAACTTTCAAATTATATTCAAATAGCCTCCTACGGCTTACACGTGTTCTTAAAGTTTGTATCTCATTTTAGTTATTAAAATATTTTAAGAATAAAATCTGGTTGTTGACTTGACTTTAACAAAAAAAAATATCACATTGTATATCCCAGATAGTAATACAATGTATATATCTGAAACAATTGTTGTAAGTCACAAGAAAATTAATCTTTGGGTTGCAAGGGTCTCAAAAATATGTCATCTGCACCACTCGCACTCTGCATACTTCTGGATTAGCCCTCAGCCTTAAGATAACATTTTAATACACTTCACAATCCTTAAGTACTGTCATAATAAATTTGTCTGTTTATTTATTTAAATTGGAAGTTTTTATCACTTCTCTTGTTAAGCACACACTATCACATTGTCCTGACAAAACCTCTATTTGTGTTGGAGTTTACCATTGTTTCCGTTACGGATCAAGATTGAATTGTAACAATCATGAAGAATGCATTTTGATATTTACTCTATTAATGTTTTCACGAAATGCCTCACACTACTAATTCATGTCTAAGTAACCTTAACTTAATACGCTTTAAATGTTTTCAGGCTTACTTGCAGTGCTTAGAATTGTGTATTTCTTTAGTTTGTATGGAATGAATTTTGAAGATTCGTTCATTTTAATGTAACTTCTTTGTAAAATAACCTCTTTGTGTAATTAAGAAATGTTTTTGATGTCTAGTAGTACATTTAGTAAACTCAGCATAGTATAAATATATATATGTCAGTTTGCTTGAAAACAGCTGTATGCTTTATCACAACTTTTATTATAATCTCCATTTTTCGATTGTTGTAATTCATATATTGACATTACATTATAAATACTGGTATATATATGAAAAGGATATAAGTTATACTACTCAGTAAGAACTGAATGAGTTCCAGATTATAAAGGATCATACTGTCACATTGCACCACACGCCTCTCCTGTATGTATTCACAAAGACGTTTTGGGCACTTTATCAATCAGACTGATCATAACTTGTCGTTAGGTCAGGATAAAGTCAGTTTGGTTACATTACATATATACAATGTCTGGGATAAAATTGATGATGAAAATATTATGCCATGATAAATGGACCTTATGTTACTTGGTAGTGTCCTATGTTGAATAAAACGTTTTTTACAGGCGATAGAATCTTCCCCTACCCTGAGGGTGTGACAGAGAAATCTCAAACCCGAGGGGGGATGTTTTTTGGTTGTCTAGAGCCTCGGGTTAGACAACAACAAAAATCACCCCCAGAGGGTTGGAGATTTCTCTGTTACACCCTTAAGGTAGGGGAGGATTATGTTTCTCCCATCCTATTATGCCGGTCACAACTCCACCGATAGTAGCGTAAACAAAAACACATGTGGGGTATGAATATTGTTATTAACATTTGATGACATCACAATTACCGGTGACGCATTTTATTGACGTCACAATTGAACACTGCACGAGGCTATCTCCCCTTAGGGGGTGACAAGCTGATCTTTCCCGGCTAAAACGGGAGACACACCTGTGAAGGGTTGGAGAAATGTACACCTACCGGTGATAGAAAAATCAGGCATCACTCTCTAAGCATTATCAGATTACAGAATATTACAGTAACACTTCAATATATACAATGGGTATTATGGTACAATGATTTTTTTTTTAAATCACAAATGGATAAGTGTATGGATACAGTTTGTCATCTTAAACTTCTTCCAAAGTATACGTAGTAAGTCTATATGTTTGTTTGCATATATTTGTATTTCTTGACCCAAGTTTCTTTAATTTTCCTTTATATAGCTTCAGTTGATTCCTTTTCTTTACTTGAAAGCATACTTTTCCTATGGGGAAAGTTAAGGAAAACATCTGAATTAAGTTATTTAAAACAAAAACTAATCCAGGAAGTCCTTTTCCTACTAATTTCTGTCCATCAGGTCATTTGACCTGCATCTTGCATAATTTCTGCAATAGGCTAGAGATGGTTCAATCATCATTTAGTCATATATATATGTTCATGTTTTTTATTTCAGAGTTTTTTATGTATCTTCTTTCTTTTTGTTCACATTTATACCATATTGATCATTCAGATATATACTGAAAACATGGGATAAAAACGCAGATTTTTTTTGAAAATGAAAAATATTTCTGTTATTTCAGTAGTAGTGATGTATACTTTTAGAATTATTTTCAGTAAGATACTAATACTGAATGGGTACATGTAACTGACTAGCATGTTATGATGAGTGGGTGGAGTACATATATTGTATAATCATAGCACTCTCAGTTGACGTTGGCTGTATTTTCGGTGTGTATGGGCATCATAACATGTAAAATGGGATATGTGGTACATTAATGTTAATTTACAAAGCTAGCATGTGATTTCGTCATATATTCTGCATCCAGACCATATAAGATACAGTAACTTCATAAATATAGACATATGTTTAATCTAAAACTATGTCAAGGTTCTTATGATATACATGGTGTCATGTACAGGAAAACTTCGAGCATCAAAAAGACAACAAAATACAATGAGAGGCTAACTATATTATATTTTTAATTCCAATTGATATCAAAGTGTTGGATTTAATGTTAATGTATAAAAGATAGCTTGTTTTCTTTAAAATAATAATGATTTTTAATTATGTATTGTTCAAGATAGTAGCAATATGGGTTGTGAGCTTTATTTAAGAAAGAAGTGAAAACAAGTCTGTATAATATACATTTATCAGCTGATTTAAATTTATGCTTATTCATAATCACTTTCTTTATTATTTTTATTTTGAAGCTCATTATTTTGGCTAATGCAAGTTTGTTATAATTTTAGACCAAGGAGAGAAATGATGTGCTTGCTGACTTCATGGCCAAAGGTTTGTTTCCAGAATGTGTCAATAATAGTGTTTCTTTTCCCATGTTTTGTCCTTTAGAAAGCAACATTCAATTGTCAAGACAGGTACAATGACCTCATCTGAAACCATTTGCTCATGATAAATTTGTCTAGTCAGACAGATATAAGTTTTTTAGGAGTTTGAAGGATAAACAAAAGTAACATTGGAGGAAATTAATAGTGTATGATGGCTCAAGGTATGCAATACAGTACGTATCTGATAATGATAATTTATTTGTTCTGTGATTACTTTCAGACACACCAAGCTATGAAAGTCTGTTTAAAGATGTGGTTGCCATACTCAAGTTCTTCACAGCTAAACTGGAACAGGCACCCAGGTGGGAGCAGTTCTTATACATTTGTATGCTATGCCTGTTTAACAAAAAACCAATCAAGCAAAGAGTGCAAATGACCGATGTCTTGACTTTAAACTTCTGAAAACAACTCTCTAAGCCACAATATGCCAAGACAGTAAAGTCGGCTGTCAGAAAATATTACAACATTTTGTTTAACTAGCACTCTAATACTGCAGGACTGGTAATATGTCCACTTATCAGATAAGATTATTTTATATCTTTTTCAATCACCAAAATGTTCCTTCCATGGTCGACAGTCTGTATAAAAATTATTGGTTATGAAATAGGAGTATAAGTTATGCTATATCTGTGTTAACTATGTATAGGTAATACACTGTATTACTGTCTTTCAGTTCCAATCAGACTCGCCAGTCTATACCACTCCTCCTGGAGGGGGTCTATACTGTCATCTCCAACTCACCAGTCTCCATCAGGGAATACAAACCTTTCCAGGAAGTCCTCTGGTAAGTTTCAGTTTGGAAACACAAGCCTCTCCAGGAAGTCTTTGTTGGTGCAAATATGGGAGCACCAACATTTTCAGGAAATAGTCCAAAGTTGTTTTTAGCTCAAAACTTACATTGAATCTCCTTATAACTTTCCATAGAATGTCTTATAGCTATTAGTGTTAGCCTATTTTCTAAATAGTTCATATATCTTTAGCTTCTTTTCCTATTGTTACCCTTTAGTATGTTTTCTTAATCTAGGAAGTTCCTGTGTCCATGCCTGATATCACTACTGGGCACTCCCAAGTCAGAGAGGAGTGCCGTCATTCCCAAATCTCTGGAGGATTTAGGGAGAGGCTCTGGTTGTTCCCTAACTGCCCCAAACCTCCAGGTGTCCACTGCCAAGACCATTTATAGGTAACTGTTAGCCAGCAAAATTTCATCTAGTAATCACTCAAATCACTCTAAAGTCATGCAGGTATTTAATAATTATCACTATGTCTAGTTGATTTGTGTTAATATGCACTTCTGACACTGAATCGAACCATTCACATGTTATCTAGATAAATTAGGAAACAAAGCCTCATGATTTTCAATCCTTCTTTTGAGTATATTATAAAACTTTTATAAGATATACCGTATTGAACAGTTTATAAGATATACCTTATTGAATAGTTTAATGATGATCCCAATCTAATAAGTTCTACAAATCAATAGACAATTTGGTTTCAGAAGAAGCAGAAAAAAATGAGTTACATTAGTATCAAGAAACATGTCTTTTAGATTATGAAGTGTCTGGAATGGTCAGGCCAGAAATTGAATGTACATATGGTGTTGTCTAATAGGGAAAGTAGAATCTGACACCAAGGAGGAGGTCAGCTGTTAATAGAAATGTCCATAATGGGTAAACGAGGATATCACAACTAATGAGTTACATTGTGTATGGAATGTTCTGATGATTGTGATCATTGAATGGTGTATGATATGTTGTAATGACCATTGAATGGTTTAAAGTATGTTTTAATCATCACTAATTGGTAAATGACATGTTCAGTATTGCAGTTCGTCTAGTGGACCTGATGGGCCCTGTGACATCACTGCGACCAGTGCTGGAGTCCTTGTTCCACCGAATGTTACTGTACCCACCCCCTCAGCACAGGCTGGATGCACTTAAGGCTGTCAAGGAGGTACACAATAATTAATTACTTATCAGCAAATAAATGTTTATTTTTACATTCATGATGAGCACATTTGGTGAAAAATACTTTAAGGAAGATTAATAAATTTAAATAAAATATTTATTTCCTTTAATATTTAAATTTAGACTAAATTATATTTTATTGATATGATGCTTACTTGAATTTGAACATTATAATATGGTAAGGCTAATAATGCATGGTACATTTTTCATTTCTAGTCACAGTTTTATATTAAGGATTGTCTGTATGTGTTATATTAAACATTCATATTTACATTTGCTCTGCATCTTTCAATTGCAATGCATTGAGAAGGCAAATGTTGTTGTGAGACTATAACAGCATTTGTTATTTTAACATCATCATTCTATATTGTGACGTCATCAATCTCTATTGTAACATCATCGTTATATTAAACATTCATATTTACATTTGCTCTGCATCTTTCAATTGCAATGCATTGAGAAGGCAAATGTTGTTGTGAGACTACAACAGCATTTGCTATTTTAACATCATCATTCTATATTGTGACGTCATCAATCTCTATTGTGACATCATCAATCTCTATTGCGACATCATCAATCTCTATTGTAACATCATCAATCTCTATTTTAACATCATCATTCTCTATTGTAACATCATCAATCTCTATTGTAACATCATCAATCTCTATTGTAACCTCATCAATCTCTATTGTAACATCATCAATCTCTATTGTAACATCATCAATCTCAATTGTGACATCATCAATCTCTTTGTTGTCGAGACTTAACTTGCTGTTTCGAAGACCTGTTCGAAATAACTAAATAAAGCGTAACTACTCTACCAAAATGTAAATATAAATAATGAATGTTTTAGCAAATATTGTTATGGTCATTTAACACACATTTCTATTGCTGACAAACTTACATAAAGCTCTGCCAGGCTTTATTAAGTTTGTCATCAATAACAATGTGTGTTATAGGACCATAACAACATTTCCTAAAATATTCATTGCTTAAATAATTTACCTACTGATTGTATTGATATAGTGTTGATTTATGACATGAACTTTATTTTGTGTCCAGTTGCTGAAGACTCCAGAAGGCCTGTACAAGTTAGCGTGTCCATTGTTTGATCAGGAATCGCAGGACGGTGACCTGAAATCTGGGACAAAGAACCCAAACTCTGATATTGCCTTACTCAAGTTGTAAGTATACGTATATGCAAACCTCTTATTGTTTCAACTTTTTATTTATGCATATTTGAGTTCATGACAGTGATAAACTAAAACTTGTCTTAATGCAGTCAGTGTGGCAAGTTTGCTTGTTTTAAACCTTCTGACTTCCTGTATTGTATTTGAAGGTAGACATGGTTTAGTGGAAAACCTTTTTAAAGATGATTTTTTTGTGTCATTATTTTTTACTCTTTTTGTATAAAATAATGTTTCAAAAAATGTGTTGATGTATTTGGACAGAATTGTGGATGCACTACAGGAGAGCTGTCACTGTAATGACTCAGCAGTGTGTATCACCAGTGTCACCTGTGTAGATGTCATGCTTGGCGCCCTAGAACAGGTGTGTAAGGGAGTGGGCATGACGGACAAAGTCTGCAAGTCTATCACCAAATACCACACTGCTCTGGAAAGAGGTAATTATTAAAAGGTTTTGATTGATTTTGATTTGATTAAAAAAAAAAAAAAAAAAATTAAGAAAGTAACCAACACAAAATATTACCATTGTACTTGGTATTGCCTAAGTACACACTGTTTACTGTCACAGTGTGGGATCAAGCTTTTATCAATTTGATTGTTGATCCACTTCAATAGAAAAATACATGAAACTGGACCACATATTAAATCATAATTTAACAAGCAATACATAATTTATTACATCCCTATATGGTTTCAATTCATGTAGATTGTGTGTCTAATCTCAGTAACTAATGAATATTTATGCATTCTATATAATTATTCAAGCACATGTAAATAATTTTGTTTTTCAGTATCAATAAGTCAAATACAGCATTAACATAAACTTTTGGACTATGAATAAATGAAAAAGAATGTACTGGACTTGAAATTGAAACAATCCTAGATAGTATTTATGGGCTATTACAAAAATGTACTTGATATTAAGGATAGAAACACTAATAGAACAATTTGAAAAACAATCACATTATTTTTCTAAAAAACTTTAGGACCATTCAGATATGTTAAGTTTGTACTTTATGTGGTAAATCATATAAGCTAAAACTCAAAATGATCCCTTAATAGTTAAACAAGAAATCAGTTTGAAATTTTGTTGTTATTTTTATCTTCTTGATAATTAAGAAGCTTCAAGGTGAAGACCTTTTTTCCTTTATAGAATTTTCTAGGTCAGACAGTTTGACGATGTCAGAGACAGATGCTCGAGAGTACAGTTACCGAGGCAGTGTTTCAGAGCCTCGTGTTGAGGCGAGTGACAGTGAAGATACAGATACTGATGTGGAGGACATGAATGCTCCTAATCATACAGAGGGCAGTACTGATGTGTTCGTCACAGACCATAACAACTCCAACCCTACACTGTTACACCAGCGTAGCACTCGCCCAAACAGAAAGGAAAGCCAAAGTCTGATCAAAGATGAAATCCAGCGTCGTTACAAAACACTGGGTAGTGAGTATGAGATGGTGGAGCGACAGAACGCCCGACTATTCATTGCCGAGCTTAGTCGGACACTCCCCCACATTGCCAGAATGTATACAGTGTGTGAAGTGGATGAAGCTCTCCAGAACTTTTCTTCTAACTTCTGTTCAGGTGTGTACTTACACAGATTATTTTGTGACTTAATTTTTTAAATCAGGCTATACAAGGACCTGTAGCTAGTTTGTTATGATTATAAATGTAATTTCAGAGTAAAAAGGATCTATTTCCCTATTATTTCAGGATGTTTTGTTGAAAAAAATATTTACAAGTAAATTACATCTCCCAGTTTGACAAAATTTATATATTTTTGGCCTTATAACAGTACAAATTAGTAACCACAGAAAAAGGCGAATGGATAGATTTTTATTCTAAATGGCAATTATACAATTTCTTTAACATGATAAATGTACAGCTGTGTATGTCTTAGAAACAAAAAATTAAGTGGTTTTTTTTCATAATGGCTAATTAAAGAAGTTCTTTTTTGAACGCTTCATATGAAAGATAACACAGTGAGAGTGTTTACTAGGTAGTACACTGATAGTTGATTAAAGTTCTTGTTGTTCTCTAGCCTTGTATGACCAGCAGTACAAGTCATCCGAGGAAAATTCTTCATCATGTCAGATGGCCATACTGAATGCTGATGGTGTGTACGTCGCTACCATTACTGCTCTTCTCCTCAACCTCAAACTGGAAGTCGATGGTGCCTACAGCACAGCAGACAGTATGAGCTGTCCTCTGTCGGAGGTAAGGAACTGTGGCACAATAGAGAGTATTAGCTGTTCTCTGTCTGAGGTAAGGTAATGTGACACAACAGACAGTATTAGCTGTCCTCTGTCTGAGGTAAGGAACTGTGGCACAACAGACAGTATTAGCAGTCCTCTGTCAGAGGTAAGGAACTGTGGCACAACACAGAATATCTGTTGTCCTCTGTCAAAGGTAAGGTAATGTGGCACAACAGACAGTATTAGCAGTCCTCTGTCAGAGGTAAGGAACTGTGGCACAACACAGAGTATCTGTTGTCCTCTGTCAAAGGTAAGGTAATGTGGCACAACAGAGAGTATCAGCTGTCCTCTGTCTGAGGTAAGGTAATGTGACACAGGGGAGGTTATTAACTGTCCTCTGTTAGAGGTAAGATACTATGACACAGGTGAGGGTATCAGCTGTTCTCTGTCAGAGGTTAAGTACTGTAACACTGGAGGGTAAGGAACTGTGGCACAACACAGAATATCTGTTGTCCTCTGTCAAAGGTAAGGTAATGTGGCACAACAGACAGTATTAGCAGTCCTCTGTCAGAGGTAATGAGACACAGGGGAGGTTATTAGCTGTCCTCTGTCAGAGATAAGGGTAAGATACTATGACACAGGGAATGGTATCAGCTGTCCTCTTTCAGAGGTAAGGAACTGGGGCACAGCAGAGAGAATCAGCTGTCCTCTGTCTGAGGTAAGGAACTGTGGCACTGCAGACAGTATTAGCTGTCCTCTGTCTGAGGTAAGGTAATGCGACACAGGGGAGGTTATTAGCTGTCCTCTGTCTGAGGTGAGGTAATGTGACACAGGGGAGGTTATTAACTGTCCTCTGTTAGAGGTAAGATACTATGACACAGGAACTGTGGCACAACCCAGAGTATCAGCTGTCCTCTGACAGAGGTAAGGAACTGTGGCACAGCAGAGAGTATCAGATGTCCTCTGTCAGAGGTAAGGCACTGTGGCACAGCAGAGAGTATCAGCTGGCCTCTGTCAGAGGTAAGGCACTGTGGCACAGCAGAGAGTAGCAGCTGTCCTCTGTCAGAAGTAAGTTACTGTAATACAGGGGAGGGTATCAGCCGTCCTCTGTCAGAGGTAAGATACTATGACACAGGGAATGGTATCAGCTGTCCTCTTTCAGAGGTAAGGAACTGTGTCAGAGGGGAGGGTATCAGCTGTCCTCTGACAGAGGTAAGGAACTGTAATACAGGGGAGGGTATCAGTCGTCCTCTGTCAGAACTAAGGTACTGTAACACAGGTGAGGGTAAAAGCTGTCCTCTGTAAGAGGTAACGTAATGTGACACAGGGTAGGATCTCAGCTGTCCTCTGTCAGAGGGAAGGAACTGTGTCATAGGGGAGGGTATCAGCTGTCCTCTGTCAGAGGTAAGGAACTGTGGCACAGCAGAGAGTATCAGCTGTCCTCTGTCAGAGGTAAGGAACTGTGGCACGACAGACAGTATTAGCTGTCCTCTGTCAGAGGTAAGGAACTGTGGCACAACACAGAGTATCAGCTGTCCTCTATCAGAGGTAAAGAACTGTGGCCCTACAGACAGTATTAGCTGTCCTCTGTCAGAGGTAAGGAACTGTGGCACAACGCAGAGTATCAGCTGTCCTCTGTCAGAGGAAAGGTACTGTAACACAAGGGAGGGTAGCAGCCGTCCTCTGTCAGAGGTAAGGTACTGTAACACAGCGGAGAGTATCAACTGTCCTCTGTCTGAGGTAAGGTAATGTGACACAGGGGAGGGTACCAGTCGTCCTCTGTCAGAAGTCAGGTACTGTAACACAGGTGAGGGTAACAGCTGTCCTCTGTCAGAGGTAAAGAACTGTGGCACAACACAGAGTATCAGTTGTTCTCTGTCAGAGGTAAGATACTGTCACACAGGGGAGGGTATCAGCTCTGTCCTCTGTCAGAGGTAAGGACCTGTGGCACAACACAGAGTATCAGTTGTTCTCTGTCAGAGGTAAGGAACTGTTTCATAGGGGAGGGTATCAGCTGTCCTGTGTCAGAGGTAAGATACTGTGACACAGGGAATGGTATCAACTGTCCTCTGTCAGAGGTAAGGACCTGTGGCACAACACAGAGTATCAGCTGTCCTCTGTCTGAGGTAAGGAACTGTGGCACAACACAGAGCATCAGCTGTCCTCTATCAGAGGTAAAGAACTGTGTCCCTACAGACAGTATTAGCTGTCCTCTGTCAGAGGGAAGGAACTGTGGCACAACACAGAGGATCAGCTGTCCTCTGTCTGAGGTAAGGTAAGTGAGGAACTGTGGCACAACAGACAGTATTAGCTGTCCTCTGTCAGGGGTAAGGAACTGTGGCACAACACAGAGTATCAGTTGTTCTCTGTCAGAGGTAAGATACTGTCACACCGGGGAGGGTATCAGCTGTCCTTTGTCAGAGATAAGGTATTGTAACATAGGGGAAGGCATAGGCTTTAGTATCAGCTGTCCTCTGTCAGAGCTAAGATACTGTGACATAGGGGAGGCTATCAGCTGTCCTCTGTCAGAGGGAAGGTGCGGTAACACAGGAGAGGGTATCAGCTGTCCTCTACCAGAGGTAAGGTGCTCTGTCCTCTGTTAGAGGTAAGATACTGTGAGACAGGGAATGGTATCAGCTGTGGATATCAGCTGTCCTCTGTCAGAGGAAAGGTACTGTAACACAAGGGAGGGTAGCAGCCGTCCTCTGTCAGAGGTAAGGTACTGTAGCACAGGAGAGGGTATCAGCTGTCCTCTGCCAGAGGTAAGGTGCTGTAACACAAGGGAGGGTATCAGCAGTCCTCTGTCAGAGGCAAGGTACTGTAACACAGGGGATAGTATCAACTGTCCTCTGTGAGAGGTAAGGAACTGTGTCATAGGGGAGGGTATCAGTTGTTCTCTGTCAGAGGTAAGGAACTGTTTCATAGGGGAGGGTATCAGCTGTCCTCTGTCAGAGGTAAGATACTGTGACATAGGGGAGGGTATCAGCTGTCCTCTGTCAGAGGTAAGGTGCTGTAACACAGGAGAGGGTATCAGCTGTCCTCTACCAGAGGTAAGGTGCTGTAACACAAGGGAGGGTATCAGCTGTCCTCTGTCAGAGGTAAGGTGCTGTTACACAGGGGAGGATATCAGCTGTCCTCTGTCAGAGATAAGGTAATGTGACACAGACGAGGGTATCAGCTGTCCTCTGTCAGAGGTAAGGTACTGTAACACAAGGGGGGTACCAGCTGTCCTCTGTCAGAGGAAAGGTGCTGTAACACAGGAGAGGGTATCAGCTGTCCTCTGCCAGATGTAAGGTACTGTGACACTGGGGAGGATATCAGCTGTCCTCTGTCAGAGTTTAAGTACTGTAACACTTGAGAGGATATCAGCTGTCCTCTGTCAGAGGTTAAGTACTGTAACACTGGAGAGGATATCAGCTGTCCTCTGTGAGAGGTAAGATACTATGACACAGGGGAAAGTATCAGCTGTCCTCTGTCAGAGGTAAGATACTATGACACAGGGAGTGGTATCAGCTGTCCTCTGTTAGAGGTAAGGTACTGTGACGCAGGGGAGAGTATCAGCTGTCCTCTGTTAGAGGTAAGGTACTTTGACACAAGGGAGGGTATCAGCTGTCCTCTGTCAGATGTAAGGTACTGTGACACAGGGGAGAGTATCAGCTGTCCTCTGTTAGAGGTAAGCTACTATGACACAGGGAATGGTATCAGCTGTCCTCTGTCAGAGGTAAGATACTGTCACACAGGGGAGGGTATCAGCTGTCCTCTGTTAGAGGTAAGATACTATGACACAGGAAATGGTATCAGCTGTCCTCTGTCAGAGGTAAGATACTGTGACACAGGGAATGGTATCAGCTGTCCTCTGTCAGAGGTAAGATACTGTCACACCGGGGAGGGTATCAGCTGTCCTTTGTCAGAGATAAGGTATTGTAACATAGGGGAAGGCATATGCTTTAGATCTAGCAGGCTATAAAACATATAATTTGTTCTAGTATGAACTTTTAAAAGATAGAGTAAAAGGTTTTGATTTGTGTTGCCTTTATAAACAGTACATTGATGAGGTTGGTACTGGTCTGTCAGAATGTGATGTTTGTTGTTTATATTGTTTTGTACAGAAGCAGTATGTGGATGAGGTCCTGGGTACTGGTCTGTTGCTGTTCCTGTCCCCGGCCTGGCTTAGTGAGGTATACAGACAAATTACTGCCACCAGCATACTACAGGCTGCAGGCTGTCACAGCGACAGTGACTCCCCCCTCTTACAGATCCTTAAAGGTAATATAGACCATCATACACAGCTTTTAAATATAATTGGGGATAGACAGGTGTCATTTTAATTACAACATCTAAAAAAAACAAATTCCATCTTTTTACACCCTTTCAACTTATATGTTTTACACACTTTATGCTTAGAATTTTCCATATGTTGAATGTAACCTCAATCTTTGTAGATGTGGATGGGCTTGGGAGCAATGGTCGGGGTGGTCAGCTTCTGAGTGGCATGTGTAATAGTGAAGAAGTATTGGACTCTGACCAGGAGCCTCCCGACAACCAGCTCTACGCAGACATGGGTATGTGGAGTGTTGTTACTATTGTCAGTGTTGTCATAATCATCATCTGAATGGCTGAAGGAAGTGCATCAGTGAAAAGGTTTTGTTTTTGATGTTAACTTTAATTAGAACCATATTTATCTGGCAGTAAGCCCATGCTTGATAATAAGCCCACCAATATATATTGCTGTTAGGAAGAAATGCCAACAAAATCTTTATCTTTATCCTGTAATAAGCCAAACCCCCTAAGTTCAGAAAGAAATCATGTGTTGGCCCCCTGGACATAGAACAATGTGCAACAGTTTAAAAAAGAATAAAAAAAATCTGCAAAGGTTTTATGGATTTAGTTCAGAATGAAAAATCTCCATTCAGAAGAGGATCCAGTACACTGTGACATCCTTTTCTCCTACTATAGGTAAGAAGTTCTCCAAGCGTGTACTGTCCCGTTGTTGGGACGGGGTTCTAGATGTTCTTTCTGTCCTTCTAAATGGGAAGAGTTCCTGTGGGATCACCAGTAGCCTTGGACTGATGTTGGGAACAGAAGGAGCCAAGGAGGAGAGTCTGCGTGCCCGTGAGGCCATCTGTATGAGTCTGGATGGACTACAGAAAGCTGCTCGGCTGTGCTGTGCTTTAGGTTGGTTTTGAAAATCTGTACATGTCTAAACACAATAAAGGTCTGTAGAAAGAAATACCTATTGGGGAATTATGGTTAACCTTATACACTGCATACAGTCCTTTGTAATAAGTCTTTGGTTAGAATAACAGTGCAGTAAATTCAGAGTGTTACCCTTAATTTTGATGCAATATTATCCTGATATAATTAAAACCTTTTGAGTTTTAAAATTAGCCATGAACTGCTCTGTGATCAATATTAAACATCATCATGATACCTGTGGTTTAAATTAACACAAAACATGTTTTATGCAAATGTTTTCCAGTGTAACTGCTAATTGACTCCTTCAGTCCTACATAAGAACTGCTGGATGCTACTGTCGGGACTGAGAAGTCCGTGTAAATATGTTACTTCTCCTATTGCTTATTTGAACATCTATAAAAATATATCTAGAGATAATTATCTACCCACCGAGCACATTCTGTATTTCTCCTTCAAGACTGAATCTTTGTTACTGTTGATATCCTGATCATGTCTGAACACAGGTCTGCAGCAGCGCTGTGGCAGAGTGTTCTCCCAGCTGGCCAGCACCTCCTGTGTACTGATTGACACTCAGAGGTCACCCAGTGCTGACCCAAAGTCGTCCACCAAGCCGGTGATGTCCAGTAAAATCAAGCCTGTACGACTGCATGCCTCTCACATCCTCAGTATGGACGTAGTAATGACTAATGGACTGGAGATGGGCAGTCACTCCGCAGACTGCTGGAGACATGTCTTCAGGTAAGAAATGTACAGGTCTTTTCATTAAGAGGACCACAGTTGTTCAATTCAGAATTAGGGACAGATCAGGTTTGATATTCCTTTTTGGGAAATCTTTTATCAAAGCTGTGACAATGTTGGTTCACTTTTATTTATTCCTGAAAAAAAACTTGTGTGGAGGAAAGAAGTTTTAATTACAAATACAAATACAGCATTGGATTATTGAAAAAAGAAGGAGAAATGTAAATGTTTGTAAATGTATGATTGAGTTACATCAAATCCATTGGTGTGCATATTTCATAGTGAACAGTTATTTTCAATGAATTCTGTGTCCTTTGTTATATTATCCCTTCCCCACTGATCAGTAAGCATTTAACAATCTTCAGTTACATAGGTATTTTCAATTTGAAGTAAGATGTGTTAAATTTTTGTTGTGTTTTGTATGTATTCTATTTTATCATTGTTATAAATTCACAGGTGTTCTGCATTTATATCCAAGTTGGAGCACACCTACTTCAGCAGTGGAAACAACCAGTTCAGTCTACCCAAGGTCCAGCAGGAACAGTCTGTCGGACCAGACAATCATGACGAGTAAGTCAGCATCATAGGCATGTATACATGTAAGCTGTTCCTTTGACTTTGTAATGTTAACTTGGGAAAAGGCACTGATTTTAAATTAAAGTTACTTGTGTCAGACAAGTCCACAGGACCAAGGTGAGCTTAAAATATATTGCACCATCTATCAGTCCATCTGCATTTTCATCAAACATCTTCTTTTAAACACAAAACAACAAAACATTCATCAAATTTAACTGGAAACATCTTAACTAGGTGGTAGGAGTTTAAAATTGTACAAATGGAGGTTCTGACCCATGGGATGGATGGGTTGGGGAGGGGGGGGGACTGAGTGGCAAGACCAAAAAAAGAGCATTTTTTGCTGTTTTGCTTTACACAAGTTTTTGCAACCAAGGGTATTTAACAGATATAGACCAAATTGGTTTTTGTTGGGCATTATTGCTTGAAGCAAGTTAATATTTTGCTATGATGGCTTATATATCCAAGATGAGCAATGTAGGCCCTCTGAACTTCTTTTTACCTTTTCTGTTATGGCATGCTACACTTATTCTGAAATTTTCTAAAAATGAACAAAGCATATCTTGTTTAATTTATTAGTTAAAACCAGTGAACATTTGTGCTAGAAATACAACTCTGAGGAGTTGATGAACAAATATTTCCACAACATACCTCATGTTACAGAATTTGTTTTGATTTGTGTAGATGTGACATGCCAATCTACACCATTCCTGTGGTTGCTCCAGTGCCAGTAGCCCCCCGTATCAACATTCCAGACCTTATTCGACAAAGCAGTAAAGAGTCAGGCTGGGAACGCTCATTGACAGGAGGAGGAGTGCTCAATGCTGCTCAGGCCTCCCAGGCACTATGTTGTCTGTCACAGGAAGTGGACAGGTGAGTGGAGGGTTGTCTGCCACAGGAGGTGGACAGGTGAGTGGAGGGTTGTCTGTCACAGGATGTGGACAGGTGAGTGGAGGGTTGTTTGGCATAGGAGGTGGACAGGTGAGTGGAGGGTTGTCTTGTCACAGGATGTGGACAGGTGAGTGGAGGTTTGTTTGTCATAGGAGGTGGACAGGGGAGTGGAGGGTTGTCGGGCACAGGAGGTAGACAGGTGAGGGAAACAGGAGATAGCAAGGTGAGTGGAAAGGAGATTGTCACAGGAGGTAGCCAGGTGAGTGGTAAGGAGATTGTCACAGGAGGTAGCCAGGGGAGTGGTAAGGAGATTGTCACAGGAGGTAGCCAGGTGAGTGGTAAGGAGATTGTCACAGGAGGTAGCCAGGTGAGTGGTAAGGAGATTGTCACAAGAAGTAGACAGGTTAGTGGAAGGGAGATTGTCACAAGAAGTAGACAGGTGAGTGGAGGTTTGTCTGTCACAGGAGATGGAGCATGCATCCTTGACAGTGGACAGACTCCTATACTTATGCTACAATGAACATACAATAACGGGTCCTTTGTATAACAAGCAAAATTTGTGGACATCTGAAAGAGAGATAACACATTGTGATGACACATGAGTAATGGATATTTTCATAAGATATACATTTGAATGTGCTTGAGAGATCACCCCTTTTGAGCAATCCTTTCTCATAAGCGAGATAAGCAATTAATGTGGTTATTTCCATTTTTAGGTTGTTCGAAGATGCTGCTCAGAAGCTCAACTTTTGTGCAATAGTAAACTTCCTGTCAGAACTCTGTGAAGCAAGTCAGTATCAGCTCAACAAAATGGTCAAGCTTTTGGATGATAATGACTCCCTGTCTGACTCACATCAGCTTCCAATGAATGCTTTACACTTATACAGACTACAGGAGGTGCTGATGAAGATCGTCCACAGTGACCGTCCCCTGATCCACCTGATGCGGACATGGAGCACAGTGTCTACACACCTGGTAGAGGTGAGTCTAGGCATGTGTGCAATACCACTGGTGTATGCAGAAACATCATGTACATACGATGGCCTTAAAATTTGAATTAAATCATTCTATTCCAAAAGACATTCATATGATGGCTATTTCTACTACCGTATTTTACCGCAAATAAGTAGGTAGGTAACTTTTGACCAACATTAATTTTTGTCTTGACATTGGAGTAAGTGAAGAAACAATGGATCAATACAGAGATCTGAGAGCTTGAAGGTTTATTGTGTTAAATTAGNTTCATTAAAAAAAAAACGCCTTTTCACGTGATGTCCCTTTAAGCACAAATGTAAAATTTGCAAATAAAACTGTTTTCTGTAACAACTTTACTTTCAGGCTGCTGGTCACCATGACAGAAGTGTGTCGAAGATGGCTGTGACTTGTGTTCATGACTTTATCCTGGCAATGCTGGGTGACCGGCCAGAGCTGGCCCACTTCCATGTGAATGAGCTGCTGTGTAAGACATTTGAGAACATGCTGTGTCTGGAGTTGTGTGATGGCGATGTGCAGGACCAGGTCAGTCTAGCGGGGTGGTCAGTCTAGTGGGTAGGGGTGTCCATCTATGTCATGTTCAGTTATTATGGCAGTCTAAACAGTGGTCACTCTGATATAGTTCAGATGTTGATATGAATTGATTGCAAGACCTTTCAACAACCAGTGGTTGGAAAGCTGACCTTTATTAGTTAAAAAAAAGAGGATTACAACTATAGCTAAAATTCTCTTGCTTAGCAATAGTATCTAGTTAAAATAATTCCATGACAGGAAGCAAAAAAAACTGTTTTCTTACCATGAAGCTTTCATTTTGATCATTTACAACAGAACTAGCAAGATTGGTTTCTAGCTGGTACACTGTAAAAGATGGTCAGAATCTCAGTCCTGTTGTGGTGGAAGAAAGTTGTTTCTGATTAAATCTTGATTGCCTCTTTCACCTGTGTTTTGATGATGTTTCAATATCAAAGATTGACATATATGACATTTCAGCTTTTACTAAAACCATATGCACTTATGTTACATTTCAAGACCAATAAGTCTCTTTCTCAAAGCAAGACTGAGTGACCGTTTGGATATTTTTAACTTGATGTATGATGCGATGAAACTGTAAACTTCTAAGTCATTTGCCTACTGGACAGTTCAATTAACCCACATAGTGTTTATTTACACTGTATTTCATAGACCACTAGCTAGGTAAATATCTCACCTCTGTCGCTCTGTGTTAGCCGACAGTGGTTCATAACGGTGATTTTGTCTTCCCATTCTGAAATTGTATTATAATTTGGATAGAATAATTGTCACAGAGTAACCTTACAACCTAATTGAAGGTGTTGCTGTTTCCCTCAATGCGAACACCCAAGGTTTAGCTCCTTTGATTTACAAATTCAATTCAATTCAACTTTATTCTCTTTCACAATACAGTGTATAGAGAAACATATTTACAATATATTATATAGTAATTGTAGTGTTCGTAGTCGGTAGTACACAGTACTGTTTCATAATATATACACATTTATATCGAGGAGGTCAAATATTGTTATTAATTATTCTAATAAAGGTACAAAGTTTCTTCAGTGTTTTTATATTAATAGTATTCATCAATTCATAAAACTTAATTACATTTGGTCTCGTCCAAAAATATTTGTCTAAAATTTGAAACCCAGATAGTGGCGGACACTCAAGCAAGTAATGGAATTCGTCACCAATTTGCTGACTGTTACAGTGTGGACATTTTCTTTCATTATACTCTATATTATGCCATCTGCCGGTTTCAACAATGAACAACGATTAGTAGTCTTAAATTTACAAAATGTAACTCTATCTGTATCACTTAAAATATCTAAGTAATTTTCAAAATGACAATTATTTTTAAAAATCCTATAACATGTAGCTTTTGATGAAGTGTGTACATCACTCTGCCATTTCTGTAAATACTGGTCGTACAATCTTTGTTTAATAACATGCTTTAGCCATGTGATATTACATTCTGAAGTATATTGGACATTCCATAGATAACTCATACCACATACATTTAAAATACGTTTAATAAAGCTTATATATGGAACCGGTTTATCATCAACATTATGTTGATGGCAAAGAAATTTATACAATATAATATTAATTTGATTTCCTTTAGAATGAGCCAGTTGTGACCAATATGATATTATTCTTGTTTTTACTGTAAAAAGACTTAACTACTGTTGTCTCAGTTGTTTTGATAGATAAGTCTGCTTGTCTTCATGTTAACAGAAAATAGGATAATCCTATCTGTAATGAAATTTGTACTATTAACCGTAGTAAAGAAATGTTATAATTGTTTTGAAGTTATGTATTATCCCATTGTTATAACGACAGTGTATAACTTGGTCAGAGGTGGTTATTATACAAAACAAAGGAGACCCAACGTCCGTGTTCCATTAGTTCCAAAAGTTTGGAAGGAATTCTAATGGAATTCAGTAGTCCAGCACAAAAAGTATCATCTTCGATTAAAATTAAGATGGTTATTGTGCCTTTTTCCCTCAGATTGTATGCTCCATCTGTGAGCTGGTGGAAGCCTGCACAGCGGACATAAGGTCTGGTTGGCGGCCACTGTTTGGCGCTCTGAGGGCCGTGAAGATTGAGTATACCACCAATGAGGAAATCAATGAAGCCAGACAGCGACATGTTGCAGCTGTCCTCGACGTGTTTGAGGTGTACCTGGGTACTGACAACATCTTAGTGTTCGCCAATGCCACGGTCGACTGCATCCTTTGTTTACTCAAGTATATACGAGGACCAGGTAAGTTACCTGTTTTGTAGGAGTTGTCAATGGCTTTCTCAGAGAAACATTTTATGTACAAGTGATGGAGGGGGGTGCTGCAGTAATGGTATCAAATTATTCCATGCAAATCTAATTTGCATTTCATTTGAAAATTTCAAAACACAATATAAGAACTATCTTTGTGTGGTAATTCAGGTTTAGAGTGGTGAAATGTTCCTCTATGTGTACTACAATACATACTTCATAGTTTCTCAATAATAAAATTTCTTCAAATTCTTGACTTCCGTATTTTCAAATTTGCATTTCAATAAAATGTAGGGCACCTGTGCATGTTTTACTTTCATTGTTCAAAATAGGGTAATGGTAAGTGTATAAGAGTGAGAATGAGTAAAAACAATGTCAGCCAGCTATGTTTTTGTTTACAGGAGAGTTTGAGGAAGGTAGTGATGACGACTCGGACTCGGGAAGTGACTGTGGTATGGTATCAACAGACAATGAGAACCTGTGTATCCCTGCTCTCCGCTACCTGAAGCGCTGCTGTGAAATACTGCAAACCATGTGGAAGATGCCAGCTTGTCCAGTTTTCAATGGGGCATTCAGGTAATAGATGAAAAAAAGTATTCTGGTTAATTTAGTCAAGAGATTCTCAGGCCATTTTGCTTTAAAAGTAATGCAGCAAAAAACATTTCGTTATATAATGCACAAGATTCTTCTTCTATTCTATCTTATTTCTGAATTTGTTCGGATTACACACCTCAGATTTCCCACCATGGTAGAAACTGGAATGTCTCTTAATTCCATTCCCAAGTTGAATTCCTTAATAATACATGTACCCGGTATAGCAATATATGATTCCTAAAAAAATGCATTGATCACTGTATCTGCAGTTAAAGTTCCATGTCAGCTTTGTTTTCATCAAATCACTCCTAACTGAAGTATTACCCATTAAATAAAAGGCATTATACTGTTGTCGGATTCATCCAAAATTTGTGAAACTCCACTGATGTAATTACCAAACACTGAGGCTACATTCGCGTATCCCGGTTGAAACGGTACGTGTGGCGCAGAAATAAAAAACAATGTATCAAGAATATTATGCCCTTCTCTCATGCGTCCACTAAATTACATAACGTATTTTAAAAATTACATGTGACTTAACATTGTTTAAGAACGATATAACGCAAATTGACAATATTCAGCAGTTTAGTTTCGGCCAGGTACGTCTGGACCCCTCAATTTACATGTACCAAATTTTCCTGAGNTGCGTCCACTAAATTACATAACGTATTTTAAAAATTACATGTGACTTAACATTGTTTAAGAACGATATAACGCAAATTGACAATATTCAGCAGTTTAGTTTCGGCCAGGTACGTCTGGACCCCTCAATTTACATGTACCAAATTTTCCTGAGGTCAGCCTCGGTCCAAATCTCTACCTGTCGTTTTCTTTACAGGTTCAACCGGTTCAACTGTTTCAACCGGATACGCGAATGTAGCCTAGGGTTTTGCAAATGTCCTTACTTTTTTCATCCGGCTATTTTTATGGGAGTTATGCCCCTTTTACAAAATAATAAGCTCATTATTGTCCGAAACAACTTTTGGAACTATTCAAATCTGAAAGTAACAGCATCTGGAATTTCTGACAATGGGTTCATTATTTCATTTTCGGTTGGTTTTTTTTGTCATATGTATCCATGTTCTTTGAAATAATCATTTTACACTATAATTATAGTGAAGTAATGGAGTAATTTAATGTATCAAGTTTGTTAATTAAACCCACATATAACATGCTATCTGACTATCAACAGAATCCATACGGATTCATCACAACAGACAGTGGACCCAGTCCTACCTCACATGGACATGGAGGAGTTCACCCAGCATTTCAACACTCCAACCCAAACAACCATCCCTGATGGGGACACCAGACCCAAGGTTGTTGGGGAACAGACAGGGACATCCGTCCTGTCCTCACAGAGATCCCTGGAGGATGAGGAGCGGACATACGACAGTGGTAGCATTACATCAAATGACTCTGGGATAACTGTAGTTCCTGGTGAAAAGTTAGTTAATTCTGGGTCAAACCAGACCAAGCTCACTGCTGTAGAAAGGACAGACAATTCAGTGACAAAGACAACATCAGTGTCCGATCATGCGGAGGACACACTGGAGTCCATGGACAACCAGTCTGGCATTCTCCATGTGTGGTTCTTGGTAGTCGATGGTCTAGCTGGATCTGTGTCTTCCTGTCCGAAGATCTACCAGTCTGACACGCTGGAAATGCTTTTTTCCATCCTTAAATCTGCTGCCAATATTCCTGGTAAGGTTTCATTACACTATTAAATTTTTACAGCATTTACATAAAAGAAACTGTAGTTGAAAGTTTTTTGGCATTCATCAAAAGTACAATATAGAATGTCATGTTATTTGACAGGTCCAACATTTGCCCTCTACTGTGTGAACCGGCTGTTGCTGCCGATGCTGCAGGCCTGGCTACGTGCAGGGGTGAGGAAGTATGGCTACTGGGAAGCTGGCGCCACTAACTTCAAGCAATGCTGTGGACTCTGTACTGATCTCATCGTTGACTTCACACAGCAGTTTGCAGGTAAATAGTCATAGAAAAATGATGATGATGAGTACAGTATGTGTGCAAGTTATGAATTTTAACTAATAACTACTTCTGTTTATATTGTTTAACTCAAACTAAGACTCATCACCAGTATTGTTTGATTATACAGATTGTAAAGGGAAGACTGGAAGCCTAGTTGAGGTGATGCTGAAACAACTTCTGGACATAATGATAGAGTGTATAGCCCAGCCCATAGAGCTTATTTCTAGACTCGGCTGTTCTTGTATCAGGTAAGACATCGTGATAAAGTGTATAGCCCAGCCCATAAAGCTTATTTCTAGACTCGGCTGTTATTGTATCAGGTAAGACATCATGATAAAGTGTAAAGAAAAGCCAATATAGTTTATTTCTAGACTCAGCTGTTCTTTTATCGGGTAAGACATCATGATATATTGTATAGCCAAGCCAATAGTGATTATTTCTAGACTCTGCTGTTCTTTTATTGGGTAGGACATCATAATAAAGTGTAAAGAAAAGCCAATAGAGTTTATTTCTAGCCTCAGCTGTTTTTTTATTGGCAAAAGCATCAAGATAAAGTGGTTGGACAAGCCAATAGAGTTTATTTCTAGACTCAGCTTTTTTTTTATTGGGTAAGCCATCATGATAAAGTGTATAGCCCAGACCATAAAGCTTATTTCTAGACTCGTCTGTTATTGTATCAGGTAAGACACCATGATATAGTGTATAGCCACGCCAATAGAGGTTATTTCTAGAATCAGCTGTTCATTTATTGGGTAAGACATTATGATAAAGTGTATAGCCCAGCCCATAGAGCTTATTTCTAGACTCAGCTGGTCTTTTATTGGGTAAGACATTATGATAAAGTGTACAGCCAAGCCAATAGAGGTTATTTCTAGACTCGGCTGTTCTTGTATCAGGTAAGACATAGTGATAAAGTGTATAGCCCAGCCCATAGAGCTTATTTCTAGACTCAGCTGTTTTTTTATTGGCAAAAGCATCAAGATAAAGTGGTTGGACAAGCCAATAGAGTTTATTTCTAGACTCAGCTGTTCTTTTTTTGGGTAAGACATTATGATAAAGTGTATAGCAAAGCCAATAGAGTTTATTTCTAGACTCGGCTGTTTTTGTATCAGGTAAGACATCATGATAAAGTGTATAGCCCAGACCATAAAGCTTATTTCTAGTCTCGGCTGTTATTGTATCAGGTAAGACACCATGATATAGTGTATAGCCACGCCAATAGAGGTTATTTCTAGAATCAGCTGTTCATTTATTGGGTAAGACATTATAATAAAGTTTATAGCCAAGCCAATAGAGTTTATTACTAGACTCTGCTGTTCTTTTATTGGGTAAGACATCATGATAAAGTGTATAGACCGGCCTGGGGAGGTCATATTCAGTCAAAAGTTTTCAGCTAACAGTAATGAAGTTTAATGCCTTGGGTAGTCACACACACAGTAATAGATTGACCGTTGGAGGTTACACAAAGCATCAGTATCAGTATCAAACAAGGTATCAGTTTGGGAAATTTTGAAGAATTTGATAGAACTGTGTAATGATATAGTCATTACATGTATAACTCAATTATTTTTTTTCATTTTGACATGCAAACGCTGGTACTTAAAATATAACACACCACATTTCTCTCACATTGATTTAGTTTTAACTATGACCTTGACCCAAAAACATGTTCGTTTCCACCCACAGACACATGTTACTTAGTGCAGGCGAGTCTTTCACTGAAAACATGTGGCAGATCAGTGCCTCGGCCATGCAGAGGGCACTGGATGTCACTACCTTTCATCTCCGCCAGCTCATGATTCTGTTTGAGGTCAACTCTGAAAACTTCTATGGGGACAAAGGTCAAGTAAAGGTGGCCATGAGGAGAGACAGTTCATCTGCTGAGTGTAAACGGCTGCAGCACCTGGCACATCAGGTCAGCTACAGTTTGATGTCACAAGTTTTCATTTTTTGTGTAAAACCCATTTCTTCAGTTGATACACTGACATTTTTGTAATATATGTTATACTTTGTATGGAATAATTGAAATGTGACCTGAGAAGGATGTATCTATAGAGCGACTAGAAGAGCTTGGGTTATCATTTTCAGCAGTTCTGTTTTTTAAGATATCAAAGTTGGAACAATGAAAACAGTTCTTTCAATTTGGTTCAGTTTGTATGATCAGACTGATATCTGCCGATAGTCCACCATGAGACATTTTAATCTACTCTGTATAATCCACCATGAGACATTTTAATCTACTCTGTATAATCCACTATGAGATATTTTGAAAAGTCTTTAGTTGATCCACTATAAGATACAGATACTCACTCTTCACAGGTAAACTCCCTATTCATCCATTGTTAATTTTGCCATTTTCATGGTTTTTGCGATGCATGCTTTACTGTGTACTAATAATCACAGACAAGATAACCTTGCCCCTATTGTGGAGGATGAAAGACTGAAAGCATTTGTCATTTTACAGTATATTTCTGACACTATGAGTGATTCTGTATGAACATGGCCATCTTTTACCTGTACAGGTGTTCCTGCTGGACAGCCAGGTATCGGGAGACACTGCCCTGATCAGCGAGGTGGATGAGGACAAGTCGTTTGTGTTCCTTCTCTACCCTCCAGGTCAGGAGAATAGCCTCAACCCTGACGACATAGTAGCCAGGTAATTGCTTTTTATTGCAAATATGTATTCTAATAGGGATGTTGAAGAGTGGTTGCCAGGCCTGATGTCTGATCCAAAGGCTGAGGAGAACATTTTATTGATGATAAACAGACTAGATTTGGAGGCACGGTAGTCTAGTGGTGGGACGCCGGGACCAAAGGGTTGCGGGTTCAAGTCACGCCACGGCACGGTGTTGTATCTTTGAGCAAGATACTTTACTCCGCTTGTTCCAGTCTACTCAGCTGTAAATGAGTACGTGGTTGGGCAGTGGTAGAACTGTTGAATGCTAGCTGTGAGCGCCGAAATGGCAGCACTGCCTGTATGCTCCCCAGGGAATTGAGAAAGATGTTGGCTAGTTGCAAATGCCCTATAACCACGGATAATAATTTGTGAACCGCTTTGAGATGACCTACGGACTAGGTTGTGATAAAGCCTCGAACCTCGAATGATTATTAATTAATTATTATAGATTGCCAATGAACTTGGCTATTTAAAAACTATTTTATGTTATCAATTTATTACATGTTCTTTATCAAACACTTGACATTGTGGTTTCAAATATTGCACCTTTTTATACACCCGCCAAATTTTGACGGGAGTATTATGGTATAGGGTCCGTCCGTCTGTCCGATGTAAACTTTTGTTTGTCCGGCAATCTTCTCCTACATTTTTCGACCGATCTCTTTGAAACTTGATATACATTATAATCATGATATGAAGTTGTGTCTCCCTTCAAAGAATTTAGACTCAAAATTTTTTCCAAAAGTTATTTCCCCTTGTTCATTTCAGTATTTGATTTTTTGTCCGGAGATCTCCTCCTACATTTTTTGACGGATTTCTTTGAAACTTAGTAGGCTAATAATCATGATATGTTGTTGTGTTTTCTTGAAAAGAATTTTGATTCGACAAGTTTTGCAAAAGTTATTGCCCTTTGTTTATTTCAGTATTTGATTTTTGTCCAGCAATCTCCTCCTACATTTTTCAACGGATCTCTTTGAAATTTGGTATATATACATTATAATCATGATATGAAGTTGTGTCTACCTTAAAAGAATTTCGATTCGACGATTTTTGCAAAAGTTATTGCCCTTTGTTCATTTCAGTATTTGATTTTTTGTCCAGTGATTTTCTCCTGCATTTTTTATAGCATGTCAGCTAACCACTCTTAGAATGATGCAGATCTTATTTCAATGTAAGAAAGTATATAACACTATATGGCATTTGACGGGTGTATATTGTCCTGCCCCGCGGTACTCTTGTTTTATGGAGGAAAAGCGTTGGGGTTAGAGTTATACATTTATACCAGGTAATTTTCTACTGCTGATCAACATTAGAAACTTAACTGCTGCCTTAATTTCTGTGCCTACCAGTTTCCAGAACGTGTGTATCTGGTTGGTCTAATCTACAGATGTAAAACTGACTAATTACATATGTAATACAGCTGTAGAGTGATTTGTACCTTTCCAGGATATCATTCCGTGGTGTGGTCGTTGGACTCCTGTCTCACCAGCTGCTGTTACAGACTGTAGGCAGTGTACTGCTGAACCCCGCCCACCACCCTCAGGCCAATCCCTCTAAACCAACGGATCACAAGGGAGAGAAGACCATGGATGATGCGACCTCCAAACTAGGTAAATATATCAGTTTTATTCTTAAATTTGTATCTAACCTTCAGAAGTGTAGAGGCAGAGAAGGGATAATCCACAAATCTAATTTTTTTTTAATTTTCTAGAATACAAAAAACCAACCTTTTTGTGTTTTTATTTTTGAAAGATAGCTGTCTGTTTTAGTGTTTTAATCTTCCTTATTTGGAAATATTTCATACATAAGAATAAGATTGGTGTAGTAAGAGTTTTTACTCCATCTTACTTTTTCACACACTTTATGAGCAAGGTATTGATGTATTATTTCAACAGGAGAAAATACAGAAATTGAATAGCACATAAAACAGCTTTATGGGCAACTATCCTTTAGTTTATCTCCCCCTTATAATGAAAGGAGCCGCTTGGCCAAGTGGTTAAAGAGTGTGACATTCTGCTACCACTAACCCTCCACCACTGGGTCGTGTGTTCGAGACCTACGTGGGGCAGTCGCCAGGTACTGGCCGTAGGTCAGCAATTTTTCTCAGGGAACTTGGGCTTAATTCCTCCACCACCAAAACCTGGCATGTCCTTCTTCTTCTTTCTTGTCCAAGATGTAACTTTTAAACCATTAAAGATATCTTTATGAAATTGCAGTATACTTGCATCATCCACAGAAACTTGCAGTAGAATTGCATCACCTGCAGATGAAGTGCAATGCACTGGCAATAGGTCACTGTGATATTGACCTTAAGGTCAAATGTCAAATAAGTGCAAACTTTTCAGTTGTTACTTTTTAGCTCACCAGGTCTGAACGACCAAGGTGAGCTTATGCCATACCGTGGCGTCCGTTGTCTGTCCGTCGTCCGTCCGTCAACAATTTCTTTAAACGACTTCCTCTTCTTAACCACTGATTGGAATTTAACTAAATTTGACTGGAAGCATCCCTAAGTGGTGGGGATTCAAAATTGTACAAATGGTGGGGCTGACCCCCCAGGGGGCTGAGGGTCTGGACAAAAAGGGGGCAATTTGACTATACTGCTTTAAGTGACTTCTCCTCTGGAACTAAGAGATGGATATCAACCATATTTGACTGGAAGCATCCCTAGGTGGTGGAGATTCAAAATTGTACAAATGGTTAGGCTGACCCCCCAGGGGGCTGAGGGGCGGGGCCAAAAGGGGACAATTTGGCTATTTTGCTACAAACAACTTCCTCTGTAGAACTATGCACTGGATATCAATCATATTTAATTAAAAGCATTCATGGGAGGCAGGGATTCAAAATTGTACAAATGGTGTGGGTGACCCCCCAGGTGGCTGAGGGGCGAGGCCAAAAAGGGTTATTTGGCTATGTTGCTATAAATGACTTCTTCTGTAGAGCTATGCCATGGATATCGATCATATTTGGTCAGAAGCATTCATTAGAGGCAGGGATTCAAAATTGTGCAAACNCAGGATGGCCCTAGAGTCTGGCCCCACCCTTGGAGACATAGTCCCTAGGCCATTACTTTAAAACGGTTCAGATTCCCATCCCGAAACTATATATACAAATGCTGGGCATAAAGAGACGAATGCAGTCATTATATTAGAATAGACCCTGGGATCTGACAAACTCTTAGGGACCTAGTTTCTTAGTCACAGCTTGGAAACAGTTGAGATTCCCACCCCATAACCATACATAAAATTGCTGGGTGTGAAAAATCTAATACAGATATATATGCTGCAAGGATTGGCCTTGGGGTCTGGCATATTCCCTTCGATCTCATTTGGAGAATATTTTGCCATGATTGCTTAGATATCCAGATGAGTGATACAGGCCCTCTGGGCCTCTTGTTATACTTTTTAGGTACTGTGACTTTTCACATCATAGGTTTTTACTTGCATTGATTCATAAAGTTCATAAGTAGGCAGTTCTTCTAATAAGATATTTCAGCAAATTGTAGACACAGTTATTTTATTTTATTTGCATATTTTTATTTTGCAAGTGAAAGGGAAAGAATTTTGGTTAATGTTTTTATTCACAAAAACAAATGAGTCTTCACAAATTTTCAAGAGGAAGCTGTAGAGTTTAAATCTAAGGATAAGCGTTCATTTAATCATAAAGTACATGTGTAACACAGTTTTATCAGTAAGTACATAGACAACCTTTAATTGTAAACATTGAAGTAACAACAACTATATCTTATTTTCCAGGTATGGTTCCAATCATGTCAACTCGTAATATCTTGACGTTATTGAAATGTCTTTGGTGCTCTAACAAACTAGCAGGAGAATTTGATTCCCGTCCGGGTTTGAAGTTTCTCATCCAGAAAGTGGCACGAACTGAGGTCGCTGTGAATCTATACAAACAAGCCGGTGCGAGCATGATTTTCTACATGAATACATTACTTCAAATCTGTACTTGTTTTAACGATCTGTCACGACCAGAAACACGGACTTGCTTGGCCAGTCCTAATGTGGACAAACTGGACATTGGTCAGGCACTGAGTTCACACGTATCAGACATGAGTGGTATGAGTAGTAATAAGGTGCTGTTTATACAGCTACTGTGGGGCGTGTGTAACGACTTGTGTCAGATGTACGTAGACATGTTGTCAGACGAGTACCTAGAGAAGGCTGACCAGATGGCAGAACGCGAGCTGTTCTTCTTGATAGCCCAGCCTGACAACATCACAGATATTGTACACTGCAAGGACAGGCACAAGCAAGGGCATGATACCGAAGCTGTCATTCAGCTCCAGGGTGTCATGGCAACGGAAGCAGTTGCTCTCCAAGGTAATCCTTGCTTGTTTGTTGAAAATAAAAATGCATAAATTCATAACATTTAAGATGGTTTTTGATGATAAGAATGCAAGCATTCTATTATTTAGACAGGGTAACACATCTAGACTTTCATCTTATTTACAATTTGACTCAGTATGAAACCCAGTTGCTTATAAACATATTCAATGATGCTCTGTCTCCAAGTCTTAGAGGATATGCTTCTACGCAGCTATAGCTAGGTGTCATCCTATCCTAAATGATGAGAACATGCATTTTAATCCTTATGCTTATATTCAAAACATAAAATGTTAGTTAGTTGGTAGGGTTATTTAGAGGATATACAGTATATGATGTAAATGTATTATAATGTTATGTTGTAATGCAAAGAATTGTCATCTTGTAAGTTAGTTTTTATGTAGATATAGAAATCTGTGTATATCACATAAATATCAGTCCTCTAAATGTGAAAAAATAGCACACTAATATGTTTGAAATGAAAATTTCAATGTGATGTTTTTTTAAAAAAAAATAATTCATATTTATGTTTACAAGTTCTGTATCAATTAAGTTATTTTTTAAGCTAATCTGTTGTGTATTTAGCATCGCTGAATACTTTTAGAAACTACCCCCTGTAATACTGTGAGATTTGTTTATAATAGATCATTATGAACAGGTGATTGAGAATTGACAAGTTAAATCATTTGGTGTTATGACTTTGCAGAAGAACCATTAAACGAAGGATTTGAGGATGTCCTAGGTCTAACAGAGGAAACATGTGAATCTCAAGAACAGGAAATAAAAGGCGTGATGGGTAAAAGTAAGCGAGAGTTGAGGGAGGAACAGGATAGCCGAGTGTACACCTTGGCTACAGACACGCTCATCAGGTCCCTCATGACAGAGTATAAAAAACGTAAACAGCATCATGCAATGCCAGCATTTGTCAAACTAACCAAACAAAAGAAGGGCAGTGCTCCTCAGCAAAAGAGGGAAGTCATTGATGACGTGATTGAGAAACAGCAAAAAACTTCTTTAATGAAGGTATGTTATTTAATATTGTTTTTCTAAGATTTTATCTGTTTGCTTTTCTTGATGCTTGCATTTTAAAATATCTTTGTGTTCAGTCAAAATTTTGGGTAGACAAATTCATGATTTACAGACATCGTAAATCATAGAAATCGTTATAGTCAGTCATATGTTATCTCTATAAATGTGTTCCTGTGTGTTTATTTATAGGACAGTGAAGCACGGGCACAGTCACTGACGGAGTTACTGTGTACCATCCTCGGTTTGTTCCAACAGTTGTCTGACCAAAAGTTTGAAGCTCTTCTCCCATCAATCTACAACTGTGCCAACCAGCTGGTGTGTCATGCCCAGGATCCCCGCCTCAAGGAGGCACTTGGCCAGTGGACACACAGAATTGGAGTCATCCTCCAACTCATGCCCTCCTCTCCGTAATAACTGTTAGTGTTATTTTAATTGACCAGTGGTTCAGATGTAAAAGTCACCCTTCATCTCCATAGTAATGTGTGATTGTTATTAAAATATGATCAGTGGTACACAAGTAAGAGGCATCCCTCATCTCCATGGTAACTGTGATTGTAACTTATGTAAGCTTAGCCAGTGGTTCGCAGAAAAGAGGTCATCCCTCTTTGTCATAGGAATTGTGGCTGTAAGTTTTGCCAATGGTTCAATAGATTAGGGTCACCCAAGCAATTTGTTATTTTTCACATGATCATTGGTTATTCAGAATAGAGGTCATACGTATACATGGCCACATATCCATAGCAACCAGTTCACTTGATTTTTCTTGTGAGTATACATGAAGGGCACTGCTTCCATCAAGGATCAGGTGGTGTGTGGTTTAGCAGTTGATACATGTACTCCTTTCAATGTTTTAGGTTACAGCTTGTCAAACAAGTGAGAACAGACAAACAGTGATAGAGTTGTGAGGAAATTCCTTTCAGGTGTAATAAATTAATAAATTAATGGTAAAGATTTATTGAGTGGATAACCTACCATATCAGGGAATCTCCTTCAATGAGTAAACTAGTAATAAAAATGTATAGAGAAAATTAATTTATAGAGTGGGTATGGATCTTCTTAGGTGTAGTAAGCAAGTGGTAGAGATTTATGTATGATCTGTCTGGGAATCGCCTGTTGTAGTAAATTAGGTTAAGATTAGTGCATTGGGGTATTAGAACTAGTGATACAGGATCATATACACTCATGTTCATGTATTGCTTATACAAAAATGTAGGCTGGCATAATCAGTTTCAAAGTAAAAGATTGTAAAGGAGTAATGTATTATGATTCCGAGTATCTTGTTGCCTTGTTAAATTTAATTGACAGTCCTAGGGCGGTATCCTTACTCTCTGATACCTTGTTTGTTACTGGCAAGTGGATTTTGTTATGTTTCATGGCAGTACCTATCTCTCTGATTGCTGCTAATTACCTGGCAAGTTTATCCGTGGATATAGTGACATGGACAAGCTCAGGTGAAAAGACACAATCATAAATATTCTTTTACCTAGAGAAGGTAGATATTGTAAACAGTGTAACTTCCCCTCTCAATTAGAGGATGAATTTCATTTTTTATTGGTCTGTTCTAAATTCCAAAATCTCAGATCTCGTTTTATCAAAAGCTATCATTGGAAAAAAACATCTGTGTTTAAAGTCGTCCAGTTATTGAGTGTCCATAATATTAAAGAATTGTGTGAAATAGGAAAATTCATCTATGAGGCAAACAAATTAAGGGTATTATGAAGGAATAAGATTGTCTTCATTCTCTGTACGTTGTCCATGATTTGTGTAAAATATGTTTTGTATACTGATGGGCCAATGGCCCAAAGTTTGAATAAAACTTGAAACTTGATGACATGACAGTTACTTGAGACCTGTCACAACAAAAGCAAAGCATGTCAAACCAGAAGGTCACAAATTTGTTATGAATTGTTGTTTGGTAAGATAGCACCATTAATGATGAGTTGTTTAAATCATCCAGAGCTGATTGGGTCTAAGTGTGTTGATTGTCAACTCCTGTATATATACACATAACTGTGTAGAAGGTCTACATTGCTACTGTATATTTCCATAACTTTTGACAGGATGCATGTATGAAAATGAAACATTTCTGAAGATAAATCAAATTTGTTAAATATCTAATTAATCTGTTTCATTTGCTAGTTACATTGGTGTATGTGTATACTCAATACATAGTTATGATACTTAGTTTGGTTAATTCCCCCCTATATCAGATTTTATTGCTGATGTGCATTATTTTTAAATTGTTGAGACATGACATATAGTCAGTCAGATTCATTATACAAGATAAAGTCCCCAGTAATGTTGTTCAGCCAAAAAAAAGTTTATTTTGCTCAAAATTACTGCTTTAATGTCACTTTAATTTCATTTCAAGAGATGTTTTCCATATACTAGGATTTTAACCTACTTGAGGTTTATCTTTTGCTATAAGCTACAAGTTTTCTTATCTATCGTTTCTACAGCCAATGTTGTGGTTGTGATGTATCTAAGTGAATCTTGTGATTTGCATGGTGTTGCCAAATTCGTTGTTATTGTGACTATTGGAAAGCTTTTGATTTCCATTGACTCCATGAATCAAGCAGTATAAAAGTAGTGTTGAATATTTTGTTTTATTGTAAGTGTTGACAAAGTTAAACATAATATAATTAGTTTTAGGTATATATCCTATATGTAACCATAATGTATGAGGTGGGTTGGTTAATGTTTGTGTAATCAACGTTTCTGTTGAGTAATACATTGAGTTCTATTCAGCAAGTAAGGCGACGTATACTGAATCCTTGTAACTAATGATGATACTTTTGTTCAATTAATACATGCCAATTTATTTGGTGCTAACTCATAATCTTTTATTTATGATAACTTTTACTCCTATAAGTAACGCTCCTGCCCATTAGTGCAATACCGTATTGTGATTTGTTGTATTTTACTTTCCCTGATGTTGGGAAGGAAGAGAATATTGTTATAGAGCGCTCCTCCATCTGTCTCACGTTGGTACCCAGACATTTTAACTCTCCTGATTGTGACAAAACTTATCAAGTCTCTATACAAGTGACTTACAACAAAAGGTTACTTTGATACTTTACAGGTATTATTGCTTGGCCTATGAACAGCTTAATGTTATGGCTGGATCAGAATCACATTCCATGAAATACTGTATTTTCATCAATTTTTCTCCAGTTCCTTTATTTTTTATTATGAACTAATTCCTTTTTAGATATACCATACAGAAATGAGGATTTTAATCTACTGCCATTGTATAGCTAAAACCTTTGAAATTTTCAAAGGTTTACATTTTACATTTGTTGATCTAGTTATGACAATACTATGGGATGTCCCATATGGAAATGGTTGTCTTTTACAATGAAGTTGTATTTATTATAAAAGGTATGTTGACAATTTTATATAATGAGTAAAATTAAATTCGCGTTTTTTATTTTATTTAGGATATCAAATAGAATATGCTAAATTGAAGTGAAGGTTAAAAACCAATTAAGATTTGTTTATTTTATTTTGTTTGTGATAACTACCTACCCACCCAAACTTACCTGGCTCTAGGGAGCTGTAGACGTGATCACAATATGTTGATTTATAAGGTGGCTACCTGTATACATGTTGTTAAGTTTTTGTGCTCAGATTTTTTTTAGATATTGTTATTTATTTGAGATGTTTTTTATTTGTTTATTACATAAATCTATTCTGTTTCCCAGATCTGTGTATATAATTTATTGTTTAATATATATATATACACTTTATTCTCTATCAATATTTTGGTAGAGAGTAAATAAGTTACAATTTTGTTTGTAATTAACCATAACTCTTTTTTGTTACGATCTTATCATAAACAACTGTTTATTTTGCAATATAATATAAACAATACCAACTCTTTTCTCACAATGTTAGTATAATTAATGCTAACTCTTGCAATGTTGTAACTTTTCTTAGAAAAATATCTCATTACAGAAGTATACGCTATTATTTGAAGCTTCTATGAATGGAAGGAATTGTATCTAATATTAGGGTAAAGAAATCCTCATTCAGTCGTCACAGATATGTGTCCTATATGTACTCCTCTCTATCCGGTATGCTGCTTACTTTTCTAGCGAGTTAAGTTAAGTTTTGCGCCAGAACATATAAATCTGCAATATGTGCTTGATCTGCAAAGACATTATTTAGACTATTAAGATCTACAAAGACATTATTAAGATCTACAAAGACATTATTTAGACTATTAAGAATCTCAAAATTTCTATGATTCATTATGTTAGTGCAATGATAAAGTATTGGAATTTGATGTTGATGTATATCAATTGTTCATTTCATGTTTCTAAGTTTGTAAAGTTAAGCCTTCCATAAAAAAACATCATTTATCTTTGCATTAGTGTTAGATATAAGTCATACTACCTACTATTACAGGAAGGGAAATGTCAAATTCCAGGATATAAACATACCAAATTTCATTTGTTGTAAGTGAAGTCATGTGCATTATAGCTTCACTGAATTAGGTAGCACAAAGTACCTTTCTTAGTTTAGATAACATTGACATATTTCATAACTACCCATGACACTGTAGATGTTTTCAAACTTTCGTGACAACAGTCCATTTCATAGAAGGTTCGCGAAAATTACAGGCATTCAACATACATGTAAATCACTGTCATCAGACGGAATGTAACATGTACAACAAAGTGATACCTGATGCATTCCTCATTTAACAGAACGCCTGACACTAATCAAATGCAAACGAAATTGCATCATTTTACATTCATAATGTTTGACATGCCTAACAACGAAAATTTGGTGCTCCTCAAGACATTTTTATCCTTGCACTGTCAAACTATTGGACGAGAAAGGTTATCTTTTTGAAGATGACATGCAAGGCTCGCTGAGCTCGCACGTTGCAGACGTGAATTTCGTAGTTCCTGATGTGTCTGTTAGAATAAGACTGCACTTAGGCTATATTGTTTTGTGAATTTGACCTGAACCATATTTCATCCATTTTAATCTAATCTCGGATCATTTTTCCTTATCAGCGATGTTTGTGTCGGAACTGTTTCATTTGTGGTGATATTGCCTCCTCTACGTTACACTTTTTGATTTTGGATGAGAGGTTGGTGTCACCTCCCATATTGACACTGACGGTGAAGGCTAGAACCCAACATCTTATGACGGAAAAGGTGAACTAACTTTGGTGTTTTTAGTACTTATTTGGCGAATTCACACCATTAGACGATGTATTAGGAGAAATGTCTTGAGGAGCACCGTATTCGGGGCGGTAAGGCCTGGAATGATATTAATGTAAGATGTATGCAGACATCCCGTTTCATAACAAGTGCGCAACTATCTTTTTGATAAACATGTTTTCACGTTGTCTGTTGATAGCAGTATATGTCGAAATTCAGTTATTTTCAAATACATGTACTAATGAATTACTTAAAGATTTATTTTACAAAAACATGTAAATATCAGACCTAAGTAACTGACATTTTTGAAAAATATTTGTATGGGCACCCCAGGAAAACATTTAAAAGTTAATAAAGAGTCGGTTATTTTGGACTAGAAAGTGTGTTGCTATGCAATGGATAGTTGTCGCAATGTAGAAAGCGTGTTGTTACACAACATACAGTTGTCGCAATGTAGAAAGCGTGTTACACAACGTACAGTTGTCGCAATGTAGAAAGCGTGTTGTTACACAACGTACCGTTGTCGCAATGTAAAAAGCGTGTTGTTACACAACGTACAGTTGTCGCAATGTAGAAAGCGTGTTGTTAAACAACGTACAAGTTGTTACAATGTAGAAAGCGTGTTGTTACACAACGGATAGTTGCCAAGAATGTTTGGGGAAATGTAGAAGTATTTTATGGAAGGCTGGTACCCAATGTCAAATGCCAATTTGCACTACCCTGAAACAAGTATACACAAAAGTGATTTATCGGAGATGGGGATCTCTTTCTGGAATCTTTGATTTTTCTCCAACTATTAATCCATAATAGGTTTTCTTTACCATTACATTAAGAATTTTAACTTGCTTATCTATACACAAAATATTCAAGTTTATATACTGAATTGCACTGCCGTTATAACCAAGATTAAGTAATAATATCCATGTTTACGCAGATACTATGTAACACATATTTAGGGATAAGGGCCTAGATTATTACGTGTTTACGCTACAATTTCGATTTATATGCCATTATTTATCATGCTGTGTTTGTTTACTTTATTGAGTACTGTAATTGCCAAACCTACACATTTCATCATTCCTGGTACATCCATTGATACTTCTCTCTCCGATGTTGGTAGCAAACAAAAGGCAGAGTAATGTATAGCATTAATATTACAATTTCATAAATTATTCTTAGATCGCAAAATCTCTATCTGTGATAGGGTTATAACTATTTCTTCTTCTTATATACCACTTTATGTAGTAAGCTTTACTGCAATAAGTCTGCTTTAGCCAATTAGATAGCATTTATTAAGAGAGTAAAGTTACTAACCCCATTCCGTATATATGAACTGCTGGGCTTGTTCCTGTAATGCCTTTATTGTGTTTTGTAGTG